CGCCTGCACATGAAAAGTCTGTCACAAAGTGTTACGTGCCATCGCAGTCTCGAGGGCCCTGTACTTGTACATCTTTGCAACTCGTTGGCGACAATACAGAACACACCAGCCTTCAGGACAATACATATCTATTAAGCCTTCCATGCCTGTCCGCAGGTGGTTAGCATGGTGTCAGCGGGCTTGGCTGGAGGAGGGGTGCTTGGTGAGGCAGGTTGGTGGAGAGTGTCGAGCTGCAATATCACCAGAGGGTGCCCTCATTTACGAAGAAGTTGCAGGAAGCGACGGACCAGAGGAGGGTAGCGTTGACCAAGCATGACTGACACGGACGGCACGGTTGATGATGCAGCTCGGCGACGGGTCATGGTGGTTGATGGTGGTTTGCGCCCATGGGGACATGGGGAGCGCTTGGTGAGCCTACAATGGATCTGGTGAGGCGATTAAGCCCAGGTGTGGGGCCTTGTTCAGCGAAGAAATACGCGACTGTGAGTGATCAGCATGGAGGTCGTCCCATCGGAGTGCCCCGGTCCAAGCTTTGGACCCACATCATGACAGAGTCCAGAACAATAGACGACGTGAGCTCGAGCCACTCGGTGCGCTTTGCCAGGCCTCTGTGGGCCTGGGGGCTTATCTTGCTTGCCCTTGACCCCTGGCCCTGGGCAACACCCCCCCGTCTGCCCCCCAACCGAAACACAGTTTTTTCGCCTCTGGCCTCAACCACGGACTTGGGGGGCTTTGGGGGTAGCGATGTTGGGTGGAAAGCGGCGTCGGAACATGTTGAAATGGCGCGTCCGGACCCTTCTGTGGGAGGCATCGTGCCTCTTCCTGATAACCACGAGGCGAAAATTCTTCCACCCCCGACCGGTGCCAAGGCGGTGCCCAAGGTTCTCAATTGAGCACGCCGTGTACTTTCATGGCGATGGTGAATCGGGATAGAATGGCGGGCAGATCGTGTAGTCTTGTTTTCGTGTCAGAAAAACATTCCTCGAGCGCGTCCTGCCATCGTCCTTCTGTATTCTTGAGGATACTATCCAAGGGCGAATGAAGAATGTGGAACAAGCGTTGATAGCTCCAATGGTGTGTCATGCCGTGTTGCATGGCTGACGATCCAGCTGAGCTGAGCACGACCGGAGCCGAAGGGTGGATCGTGACCCGAGAGGTCCTTCCCAGTCAGAGCGCGCGCGCGCGCAAGTAGAGCTGCGACTTGCATCTCCGTGCGTCCCCCTATCAATGACTTATTATCAGTAGAGATAAAGGGTACGTCGTGAGAGAAAACGAAAGCCGGAGGATTGTTTTCGGTCACGGATTTCGACGGCGTCGTCACTTCTGCATCCGTTTCTCTGGAGGGGTGGATGCTAAATCATCACTTCACGGCGGTGGTCTGTTCTCTTGAGAGGGAATCCTCTTGTTTGGTGTTTGGTGGCATGAGCTCAGCGCCAGAGACTGCGCCATGAGACGGTAGGCGAGCGGCTGGCAGGGGGAAGGGACAGGGCAAGGCAGGGCAAGAAAAGACCGTCCGCGGCAACGAGACAAGCGTGTGGCCGGCGCCAAAGTCAACCCCCCCCGGGAGGCTCGAATGCCCATGGGGGTTAGAAGGATTGACAGACGGGCCGTTGGCGAGTCATCACCGTTGTCCAGCGTCCTGTGCTATTGCTCTTCCGTTAGATGCAACTTATTATCAACGCTATTGTGGTGAAGTTTGTTTCTGTGGCTTGCTGGATTTTGGGCTCGCGACCCCGACGACGCCGCTCCGGCAGGCCCGCGAGGAGAGCTTCGGACATGACGAGGGCCTGGGAGACACAACAACGACGACGTCATTGTGTCACCGACCTCAGTGGCAAGCGTCATGACCACAGAAGGATACAGCTGCTGACTGGCCTGCTGGCCTGCTGAGCGCAGTCCACACTCCCGATACAGTGCAGTAGACAACGGGGGGATTGGGTGTGTAGCGAGACGTGTCGGTGAGCAAAGAGGCTTCCGCCATCCATCTCTTCAGATTCACCATGCACCGCCGAGCCCCACTAGCAGGTTGCGCCCCCTGCCCCATCTCTATCTGGCTCCCTGCTCCTCCTCGACTTGCGCGAGCGGACATGGGGCTCCACTCTTCCTACTCGTCCCAACCCATCGAGGCTCTGGCGCAGTACTGTGCGCGACACGCACCCAAGAGCTTCAAGGTACATGTTGGTTCCCCTCCCAAGACATTGGCGAGGACGAAAGAGGACACTACAGAGCCTTCCCTGCCGGACTCCACTATACGAGCCGTATCCGAACAGGGCTCCCCCCCCCAAGTCGCAACACAAGCACCTCACCTGGCTGTGTCGTGTTCTGCTCGCTCGCTCTCCCCTCCCCCCGTCAAAGACGGCACAACGTTGCCAGTGCCTAGGACATGTCTAGTGGAGGCTTTGCAAGATGATCTGACTGCGAAGTGGGGATATGTGATGATACCAGCACGACACCTCGCGTCTTCCGTCACGGACGACGCGGCCTACCAAGCAAGGTCGGAATAGGGGATTCGTGCCACGAAGACACGAGTCTAGGTGAAAAGACGAGATAGGCCACTATGGGCGGTTAGGGCTGGTAGACACGGAGAGAGAGCAGGCCGCCGGCGCAGTAAGCAGACAGCCAAAGAATTTCTTGTGAATTCATGGACGACAGAAGGAAATACGGTAGTAACTGGTGGTTTTCTGCATTCATCCATCCCTCCACACACCACTGCGCGTCCGTTTCCATTAGGTTTGCACCACCCAGCCGCTATCACGCTGCCGCCAACAGGCTAACCATCCGCCATTCAAGCCGTCGCTCTCCTCAACCCGCCAGTCATCACTGGCCATCCACCCATCCGTGTCGACCGTGCCATCGCCATCCCCCCCCCCCCCTCTCCCCATCCCACCTGTGCTGTCGAGTGTCGAGCGTGAAGGTCGAGCTCGAGCTTTGTCCTCCATCCAGTGCTACATCTCGAACCCCGTCTGGTTGCTGTCGACACTCCACCTCCATCATCTTCATCCCGCATCCGCACTCACCTTCTCCGCCTTTTCCCTCTCGACGCGCAGGATACTACTGCGCATCGCTATCTCGAGCTTGGAAAGATATACACTCTCTCGCCTCCTCCTACCTCACTTTGCCCCCTCCGCCTCGCCTCATGTCGCCGGCTCCGCCGCGCTGCCCTTGACGTTTGACACACTTAAACACCTTGCTGGATCCTCCCATGTTGACTCTTGGTTCTCGCCTTTTGCTCGTGCCTTCGTCTCAATCTACCTTTGATTCTTGCCTCTGTCGTCCTCCACGGCTCTGCATCAGTGTTTGCATCTGCGTGTATCTGTAGGCCGCCCAGCCATCGCCACCATCATCATCATCATTATCATATTAGAACCGACCTGTCGTCTGCTTGCCATCCGATAGCACAACATCCAGTTTCACCAAGCAAATCAACTCAAACCACCGACATCAAGACCAAGACTGGTACACCGGCCAGGTACGTGCCACCACGGCCACGCCACCCCTCCCCCTTCCACATCCACACCACGCATCCCATCCATCTTGACTCCCACACCCACGCCCACGCCCACACCCACCCATACATCCATATCCACACTTGATTGCGCTTCCGACCCCGGCACAGAGAAAAAAGCCAGGACCCAGGACCCAGGCCCCAAGCCCCATCCACCCCTGTTCTCAACAAGGCCACCCCCCGGTCAGGCCTAGCTCCAGCGCCTGGTGGTGGTGGTCCGACACACTCTAGCACTGTCAGTGGCACTTGCACTTGGGGCCTGGTACCTACTTGCCTCTGCCTGGATTGTCTCCGCTTGCTGGCACTGGCACTTTTTAATCCTCAAAACCACTCCCGTTCCCTCCGCGCCCGCGCCTTCTGCTCCCCATCCCACCTGCCTCTGTGCTTGAACCTCACCTCACCTCCTCCTCCACCACCACACGACCACCCCTCTTCCCCCGACACATTTCGTCTTCGTCAAGACCTTCCTCCACCAAGGCTGACCACAGAAACGACGACAGAGCAGGACTCAATAACCTCCCCCTTCGAATCCCCCCCACCCCCCCTGCATCTGAATCAACCAAAGCGACGACGCTTACGAGACGGCAACAACACCCCAAGCCTCTCTGGAATCTACGTCTAATCACTTTCACGACATCCTCCCAACGGCGGCTCGAAATTTGACTCGACCTCATTTCGACCACCAACGCCTCTTTCCAAGACACTCTCTTGGCCTCGACTCGCCGGAGCAGCATTCCCGCCAGACGTCACGAGCGTTTTCCGTGGGGAGATCTCTCGCTGTCTTGCGCCTCGTCCCTGACATTCCTCGGCCTCCCCAAACACGCGAGCTTTGCAAGGTTGCTGGAATATTGCCCTTGTTCGACTCTCGCTGCCACGGCCCTCTCCCGTTGCTCCCCCGGTACCCGTTGTCAGGTGAGTTTTGCTGCTGCCACCATTCCCCCCTTCCCCACGACGACGACGATGGCATACAAAGAAGCAATAAAACCCAGCGTCGAGCCGCCTCCCCCGCAACATCCACCCATGAACCGCAGGGCTCTTGTTCCACCTGCCTCCTTTTTTTTCATATGTTCCTTGCCGTCTTGAACCTTCGAATACTCGCTTCTTGATACTGTTTTACTTGACAACCCATTATTACCATCTATTTTCCCCCCCTTTGCTTCCTTTTGTCGTCACCTCATGCCAATGCATCCCACGCGCTTTCCTTTGTCATCCTTGATACAACTGCCATATGGCCTCCAGTGAGCTGACTCGAAACTTCCAGCTCTCTCTATATCCTAATCTCGAGCGACGAGTCTGTACACGACCCGCCTCACAAACATCCTAATACCCCATGAATTGATACCCTCCTCGGTTTGCTTCTTCAAGTCAACCACCCAAGGGCTGTCCTCTCTGCAATCAGGTAGCTCTATCCGTGTCGGAGTACTAGACTACCTTACGTGGTCTCTTGCGAACCTGCATCTTACCACCACTCTCCAGAGGCACCCTGACTGCTGGGATGCCTTACACGCCCCCCTCTCATAGTCGATCCCCCGCCAACTCTGCCCCCTCGTCGCCCGATGTAAGTCGACGGCCCTCTTTTCAGAGCAGCCCTAGACCATCACTACCTCGGTCCGCTTCCTATTTGACGAAGAACCGACGCAGCACGCCGTCGGCTCTGGGCGGAGGAAATGGCGCCACGAACGACAAGGTACCCGTCGGTGCGACAGACAACATCAGGACTCTCGCCACGACCAGTGTCCGACAATCGCCACCGCCGGTAACCAACGAGAGTGGTATGCCTAACGGTGCTGTCATCTCACCTCCGGACTCCGCAAGCGAGGACGAGGAAGGCACGCAGCGCGGACGCCAGCTTCACAACCTGAAGGAACTGCAAGATGCCATCAGCCAAATCCCTGTTCGCAGGGCACCCTCGCCCCCACCAAAGACGGCCGCAGGGGACATCTCCAGGCCCGAAGTCATCTCGAGCAACAACATTGTTCACAGCTTCAGCACCCCCGACCTCGCGGGCGGAAGGAGGCGAACACACGCGCGCTCTGCTACCGAACCCAAGGTCATGATCTCCAAGTCTTCGGAGACCTCACTTACCGGTTCTGAAGAGGAGTCGGATGAGGATCTCATGATGAAGCCTCCGATGGTTCGAAAGAAGTCTGGAGAGCTCGTTCGCCCTGCTCTGCGTCCTTCATCCCACCGAAGGCCGTCCAGTATGCCCGGGACGCCGACCTTCTCAAAGGCGGTGCATTTCGACTCGCACCTCGAGCACGTGCGCCACTTCCTCCAGGTCGACCGCCCGCTCGCCGTCAGCGCTGGGTCGTCACCTGCCGATAACTACGACAGTGATAATGAGTATCCGTTCCCAGGCGATGAGCGATCCGGCACTCGGTCCCCTCCTTACGAGTGGGAAATCGTGACGGCTAACCAGCCGATGGATTCTCCTATCCGCAAGTCGCTGCCTGTGCGCCTCGAGAAGGTCTGGCTCTCACCCGACCAGAAGTCGTTACTCGGTTCTGTCGCCGTTGAGAACATGTCTTTCCAGAAGTCCGTCACTTGCAGATTCACACTTGACTACTGGAAGACCACTTCCGAAGTCGCCGCTGAGTACTCGCATGAGATCCGCCCTAAGGAGTCGGACGCCGGCCATGACCGTTTCACCTTCGCCATCAAACTCTCGGATTTGGCTCACCTCGAGTCCAAGACTCTCTATTTCTGTGTCCGCTACAACGTCATGGGACAAGAGTTCTGGGACAACAATGGCGGCACCAACTTCCAAGTGGACTTCCGCAAGAAGCACTTGCCTCAAAACGGCAAACGCATCATTGGCGCCGCCAGTAGGCCTGTCGGTGGCCTGCCCCGTAGCAACCGTCGGGCTAGCCCGGCTGCTAGCTCATCACGCCCTAAGTCTGTCACTGTTGGCTTCGACGATTTTGGCGGCGAGAAGGGCAAGTACAACTTCGACCAGCCCATCCACGAATATCTTGGAGAATCCGGCCCGCCTCTCCGCCTCAAGACCAAGTCGACCAGCAACCTGGCGAGTGATAACATTTCGAGGGGCTTGACCGCACCCAGCTGCCAGGCTTTCTCCAACCGCTATGACTTTGGTGCCTCCCTCACCGCCGCTGTTCAGGCCGCAAAGGACTCGATGAGCAAGGACACCAAGGCCGACGGTGGTCTGTACATGAAGAGCCACAAGAAGATCTCCATGGCCCCTGAGCCTCCCAAACTGAAGATGCCCGTCGTGCCTCGTGGTCCCTCGCCCATGATTTCTAACCCGAAACCTGTGGCAGTGGCTGGCAACGACTCGCCCAACACTTCCCTTGCTTCCAACTCATATGAGGAACTTGTCAACAAATACTGCTTTGTACGTACTTCCCGTCATCAGCGCCCACAGCCTCAACGACCACCAAGCAACCACGATGAGAGAGCCCTTTGAGCCTAGACTAACAAAGCCACCGTGCAGTTTGGCTCAAAGCAGTCCAGCCCAAACCTACAGGAGGGCACCCTCAAGGGTAGCAAGTACGACGGTGCTGGCGATGCCTGCGACACCCGCGGCACCAACAGCACCAACTCCAGCCAAAACGGAAGTCCCAACATGCCTCACCATGCTGGCCCCGCACAGCACCATACCCTCCACATTCGTGACGACTCGCCATACTTCTTTGGCAGTGCCGTCGGTGCTTCGCCCGCCAACTCGCCGCTCATCTCCCTGATACCCTCAAGCGAGCGACCATCCAGCCCATCAACAGCACAGCGGCAAGCAGGCCAAGTCGCCACTCCTGCATCAGCCTCGCCGGCTCCCCTGACTGGTGGTCTACCTCAGTTCGCTGGTACGTCGCCACATCTCTACGCCCAGCACTTGCCGGAGCGGTTTCCGTTCTCCTTCAGTGAGACTCATGCCGGTACAGCAATTCGAGGTTGATGGCGTTTGTCGATGATGAGCCACTGTCGACATGATCGGCACAACATCCGCCACTTGGCGCTTCTCAACTGTTTTACCAACCCACGATGTTTCTCACCAAGCCCCTTAACCCGGACTTGGCATTGCCTTCGGCAAACCGGCGTCCATGGCATTTTCAACTCGCTTTCAGCGGCGGTGTCTTGACACCAAGAGAAGAGCAGCAACAGTGTCCTGTCCTGAACGCCTCCTCGCTCAATGGGGTCGTCGTTGACATGACGGGACATTCCACTGTTTCTTCTCAGCAACGCTTGCCTTCAACGGTCGCGCAACAACAAACAGCACTGGCTGTTTGGTCTCCGAGCCGAGAGCAGAGCATATCAGGGGCGTTACGTACTAATGCATAATTTGGCTTGGTTTTTTTTTTACTTCTCCTTTGAGCCAAAGGCGCATTGCGTGTCATTGGAACTCTCCACTTTGGTCTCTAGCTCCGGCGGCCACTTTTCAAAACGGGCGGTTTGGTCAGGAGGATACTCCAGTACATGGCGGAGTATAGGTACGGATGGAAAGGAGGTGGGTGGATATTGGAAAGGGCATGACCCGTCCGCACATACACTGCAACCACCGAAACCAAGGGCGGTCGGTTATCTGCTCCGGCAAACACCTCAGCAACCCTTGGACTCACGCTCTCGTCTCGTGCCATTTGCGCCGCGAGACCTGGGAAGATGTCCACGGGCTTGACGGTCGGAAGCCGCGGATGATAGCCGACAACATTGGGCAAGGGAGGGACAGAAAAGTTGCACACGAGTCTTGAGATTGAAGCGTTGACTCGTTCGTTGATTTGGGTTTCGGTTTGGCCTCGCTCTTTCAAAGCGATGGGGGATCAAGGTCACGTTTGACCAGGGCGTTGCGGATTGGACTCGGCTTAGCTACGGCAGCCCGATTCATCAGATGATGGATCCGTTTGATTTGGTCTCCAACAGCGCCCATAGCTTACTGAGGCATGGGTTGGCCGGGGAGAATATATACTATGATACCACATTACTGATTGTCCTTTTGCCGGTGAATGATGTCTGATGAATCTTTGATTCCCAATCTTGATCCTGCCATCCTTCATTTGTGATTCAATATGTTACCACCAACCAAACCTGATTTTGCATCGCACAACGTCGTTCCTGCCCGCTCTCTTCGCTTCCTTGCTCTACTTCCATTGCAGGATCCCTCGTGGTTGTGATGGACCCCGCGCACGGCAGTGCAGGCAGCGATCTGCTCGACAAGACGGCTCGGCACTGACAGGTCAGAACCGCTTTCCCCCACAGACCCCCTGCGCGCCGCACGTGCAAGAACACGAACGGCAGAAACGAGCAGTGCTGCGTCTTCCCCGGATGACAGGACGATTCGCGTATTGTCAGGTCAGACGGCCTCTCGAGGCTCGACAGGAAACAGAACCGTGCACAGGACGTTGGTTCCCCTCTGAACCTCCATCAAGTCCTGGGCCCGCTCGCACCTCGGGTCGAATGCTCATGTCTCTCCCCAAAGCCCACCCCCACCAGACAACAGACTCCCGACGACCTGCCGCCATCATGTGTTCCGTGGGGTGGGGAAAGGGGGCGGGGGCGCAACAGAGAGAGTTCGAGGCAGACGGATCAATTCCCGAAATGAGATCCTTTCGGAAAGGAAAGACGGAAGAAAAATAAACCTTGACATGTCCCTAAGCCTTGACATGTCCGCAGGGAGAGAGAGGTGGAGGGGGGGGGGGATGGAAGGGTTAAATCAAGGCTTGGGGGCGGCGGCGGCGGTGGTGTCCTTGGCCGCCTCGGCAATGGCCTGGGCCGCCTGGGTGTTCTTCTGGTACTTGTAGACGGTCCAGTCGAAGACGTAGTCGTACTGGAAGCCCTCGCGGACGAAGAGGTCGCGGAACAGCTTGCGCAGGTAGCTGTAGTCGGGCTTGTCGTCGAAGCGCAGCGAGCGCGTGTAGTTGAGGTAGATGGCGAACTCGTGCGGCAGGCCGCGGCAGAGAATCTCGGTGGGCGTCGTCATCTTCTTCTCCATGATGCGGTCGTATTTCTGCTTCTTCGTCGCCGCCTTGAGGCCTTGCCAGGGGAGCGAGCCGCGGCTGAAGTAGAGAAGCACGTAGCCGAGGGATTCCATGTCATCGCGACGGGCTTGTTCTGCACGGGGAGGGACGTTAGCTGGGCGGCTCGGGGGGCGGGGGGAGGCAGGGCGCATAGAGAGGAAGTAGGCTGCTTGCTGCCTTGTGGTAGAGTGGAAGGAAAGGGTTGGGGGGAGAGCGCGAGGTGGTGTACAACGTACCAACGCCGAGGTGTGTATTGATGGACGCGTAGCGCGCGGTGCCGGTCAGGTTCTTGTTCTCCCGATAGGGGATATGGAAATGGGTCTTCGGATCGCGGTATTTCTTCGCGAGGCCGAAATCAATAGCGTTCACCTGGTTCCCGCGCTTCCCGATGCCCATGAGGAAGTTATCCGGCTTGATGTCGCGGTGGAGGAACGACTTGGCGTGCACGTACTCGATACGCGACAGCAGCTGGTCGGCGAGCAGCAGCACCGTCTTGAGCGAGAACTTGCGGTTGCAAAAGTTGAAGAGGTCCTCGAGGCTGGGGCCCAGCAGGTCGTAGACCATGGCATTGTAGTCGCTCTCGACGCCAAAGTACCGCACGAACGGGATGCCGACGCCGCCGGCGAGCGACTTGTAGACCCTGGCCTCGTACTCGAGCTGCGGGTGTTTCGCCTTGACGCTCTCGAGCTTGATGGCGATCTCCTCGCCCGAGATGATGTTCGTGCCGAGGTAGACGTCGCCGAAGGAGCCGGAGCCGATCTTGCGGCCGATGCGATATTTGTTGCCGACGCGGAGGTCCTGGGGCGTGGTCATGTTAGCGGTCGTCATGGGGGAGAGCAGCAGGCGGCGGCGACGGCGGCGGGTGCGGTGCGAGTCGGCTTCTCTGGACTGGTCGTCGTCGTCGTCGTCGTCGTCGTGTTGACGGGGGGGAAAGAGCGCTGCGTGAGGTGTGCCTTTGCCTTTCGCTGCCGACGCCGTGAGCCCTGCGCATCGCCATGCGGGGCTTTATCGTAATTTGGGGTAGTAGTGGGCGATGGACGTACCATGGTTATTGAGTCAGGCCACCGGAAAGCGGTTACAATCTGTGTCGTTGATGGAGAGGGGCGTTTCGCCGTCGTTCAGGAATCCAGAATGCAAAGTTGTTGGCCGTTTTCGGGAGGTTTTTTTTTTCTTCCTTCCTTGGTGTTTGTTTATGAAAGAGAAATGGACTGGATCAAACGGTGAGGATGGTATAGGGAGGCTTTAGGTTTGCAGGCGGAGAAAGCTCGAGCACTCTGGAGGCGCGTGTGACTTTTTGGAGGCGGTGGCAACGCAATCTGACACAGGATCTTTGTCCGCGAGTCGGTCAACCTTCATGGAAAATAGGGGCGGTATCTGTCAAACCCCGTCGCCCGCTATTCGGAGGAGGTGCCTAATTGTTGGGACGCTGAAATTTGTGGCCGTTATCCTGAAGGTAGGGAGTATGGATGAATGTCGGGGGGATGGTGCGGAATGGTAAATTCCAATGTTAAAGCGTCCGAGATGCCAATCAGAACGGGCCCATGTCACAATGCTGACTGTGTCGCAGAGTGACAAGATGTCAAGAGTGCCTTTTCGATGGGATGGTTGCAATGTCGAGATGGGATCATTCCGAATGTCATGTCCATGTCATGTCAATGCCATGTCAAGGCCACGTCCAGGCCATGTCAATCGCGGGTCGGGTCAGGTGCCGTGTCTTGGGTGTCAATTGGGTGTCAAGGTGTCTTTGGCAGGGCGCAGGCTCTGTTTGCCTCGCGCCTGGGGGGCGCGGCGTATGAATCTGCCGAGCGTGCGCTGGCATTTGCCGAAGTGCATTGATGGACGGCCCGAGGCTGTCCAGTGTACCTACCCCCTTAATAGCGAAGGTGCTTTCGGACGGCAATTGCACACCAAGCGACCTGGCCTGAGAAGATGCAGCCCCATCCCGCTTGGAAGCAATCCGAATGCAGGCAAATGGATGCTAAACGACGAAGGCTTCGAACCGACCTTGCACATTTGAGCCGTGACAACAAAAGCCCAGTGGATGCAGGGGCCCTTGAAAATGTGGCCAGGGCAACCTGGGCCCACTTCTACCACGATGGACAGTGAATTGACTTTCCGAGCTCACTCTGATGTCCTAACGGAATCGCCCCGGCAGGGCTGACGAAAGTGTACAACCGACTGGAGGTCGATGTACGAGCATGTTCTGAGCTGCGTTCTTTCACGGAATACAGGACACAGGCTCCGCCACAACCCACATGGAAAAAAGGCAGGCCGAGACCGCCGGGCGTGCAGCACGAATTGACCGACATTTCGAGTTCTCCGCAACCACTTGGTCTGACCTGCCTTGTGCTGTAGGACAGGACCGCAGCATTCTGGCGTCACGAGATCGCGAAGACGTCAACATAAGCCATATCTGGAAGGGAAAGGTGGTTGACACGTTGTATATTTGAGATGTCACCCAGTCTTAGGTTCTGTGGACAGTGTTGAGGGCTGATGTTATTGGAACCCATTGTGCGACAAAACTCAACATGCAAGTTACTATAATGGCCGCGGTACACACATGCAAAGTGTTTCACGTGCCCTCTTGCTTTACCGAGTGACCCAATGGCAGCTTCCAATCGCCTGGTCTTCCTGGTGAATCTCGCCTTGTTCCTGTATCATCATGGCCATGCATTCGCACAATGACAACGCCTCCCTCTGAAACGTTTGCTTAGGCAAGTCGCATGCCACTCATTTCTTCCTCGACTGTCTACTATATAACTGGCAAGGGAACGCCGAAGGCCTGATAACATAAATACTTCATGGTAAACCTCCTGCTCTGTGCTCGTGAATGCTCGCGGACCTTGCGATCTCTATGCCAGGAGGCACTTGTGGAGCCAAGAAGCAGGTGGCTCAGGGGCTGCTGGTCTGGGGGCGTGAGACCACAGGGCGACGGAGGGCTAGATTTCAGACGTTTACCTACCCCCTGCCCAAGATAACTATTGGGTATCCTCTGCGAAAGACATCTTCAACCTGCTCATTCCGCCGCTTTGACAAAAGTATAGGCCCTAGGCCTATTACTTACGGCTCTTACCAGTAGCGCGTGGAATGTGTATGACGATGCGATGACAACAAGCAACGAAATAAACCCTGGTGTGTTCACAAAACGGGCAGAGAAAGCCCTGCGATCCACGCGGCATTCACAACATCATCTCTGAAAGTTGGCGTCGGCAAATGCTTACTGCCGCTACTGTCTATTTGTCAGTGCGTGGTATAGAGCAGAGTGAAGAGGTCTTCCACAAGGTCCGCAGGCAATTAGAGCATAGGCAGGGGGTCGGAATACAGCTGCATTCTGGCCCTCCGCAGCTTGGAGGGCCCTCCGCAGTCCTGATATATGCGTTTCTCGTAATGAGCCTCTGACCGACCGCCCTGCTGAGTAGCTCCGCAGGGCCACCTGACAACGTTTGATGTGGCCGTTACTATCAACTCCAAATCAGGCTGGTGCTATTCTACATGCAGGTTGAAAGAAATGTCACAGTGCCCTCCAGACTAGATACACATCTCCATTCCAAAGATCGAGAAGCTGCCTAATCCTTATGACCATAACCGATATCTGGAGCAGCCCAAAGTTTTTCCGAGGCTGGCCAGATTGACTTCTTGTTCTTCTTCTTAGTCGTATCAAGCTTCTCCCCTCGATATTTTGCTTCCTTGAACTTCATGGTCTCCTCGTCCTTGATATAGCTATGATAGGCCACGTGTGTTCCCTTCCGCATATTCTCATCGTCCTTGTAGCAGATCGGATGTGCGGGCCTTTTCCATCCTTTTGGTAGACGCTATGGATGGAAATCGTGCCGTGCAGGTCGGAGCTGGTTCGTCTGATTCGCAAAATGCTTCGACCTGGTAACCTGGAAACCCGCTCTGATTATCGTGGCAAGGATAAGCCATACTGAATGAAGATTGCTCGAGGATAAAGCTTTTTGGCTCGCGCTGTTTGGTAAGCTATGGCGACAAGCTTTCGCATGTACTCCTCCGTTTCTGGGCGGCGTCTTTTATGGAAGTAGTACTTGACAACATTGATCGTAGAGCCGGACATATTTGATAATTAGGCAGTGGAACGTGAGCGAGGCTCTCGTGAATGCGAGACCTCATGACAAAGATTTCCGAGTCGGTCTCTTTACCAGTTTATGAACTCACGTCAAGTACCGTCAGTTCCAATGCTCATTCTTCATGTTCCTTCCGAGGCCATATCAGTCCTTGCTCAGGGTGCAACCCCATATGATGCGCAATCGTGATAAGATTTCGAGCGGCCGTTATCAGTTAATTTTCGACTACGTCCAACGCCTACGGTTTCATGTTGCCCGGTACTCACTCATAATGACAGGGTGGGGGATCGGCAAAGGTTCTCAACTTTCAGGCGGTTTGTATATAAGGTACAGTAGTGACCAAGCTTGGTGGAGTTTCAATCAGCCACAAGGGCGCTCTACAGCTTCTACCGCTGGCGGCTATCTAAAGTCAGCTTGCCTTGCTGCACCCTATAACGCGCGAACCCGCGAGGAGCACAGCTTCGTGCCGCATTTCCCCTGCCGACCTTTACCACATCTGTTTAACGCGCGGAAATGAGATACACACTCTCTTCTTTTCTGGCAAAGCGGTTTCTTTCACAGCTGCCGTGCTGTCGCGCCCGAATTGTTCCCCAGCATCGCGGATTGCAATTGGCAACCATGTCAACAAACCGTCCTCGCTACAAACACATTGACGACGTTGAAAGGCTCGACTATTATGAGAAAGGTGGATACCACCCTCTTTCAAACGGGAGACTGCCTTCACAAGCGGTACAGAATAGTGCACAAGTTGGGTAATGGGAACTACTCAACTATTTGATCAGCCAAGGATGAACAGCTTTCCAAGTACATTGCCATCAAAGTCGGCGCCGCTTCATCCAAGCACAAGGAAATCGACATACTCAATCGCCTTGCCAACCATCCTGCTGGAGAGAAGTGTCTCGGTAGAGTCCGGTTCCCACCCGTACTCGATCGCTTTAACGTTCATGGGCCAAATGGGACCCATCCCTGCTTCGTCACGGTACCAGCCATGTGCAGTCTTGCCGATGCGATCGCGGCTAGTGACCACGAACCATTCCAGACCAATGTTGCCAGGTCTCTTGCTGCACAACTCGCCATGGCTTTGGCACATATGCACAGCGTAATATGTGTTCACGGCGGTAAGTAATTCAAGCTGGCCGTGCCGCGTAAAAATCGGCATACTGGCCTTCTCTAGATCGTCACCTTGAAAACCTCCTCCTTCATAATACCGGCAGGGATAGATGACTTGACGGTACAGTAGCTCTACAATCAGTATGATATGCCGGAGCCGGAGCCTGTTGTGTCGGAAGAGTAATCGGCCACTCTCATTGCCGGGTGTCCCTTCACGCGTGTACGCTCCGATTTGGATGGGAAAGCCAAGCAATGTGATTTCGTTCGGTGAATCGAAAATCCTTTTCGTCGACTTTGGCACAACTTTTTATCCAGTCCAGGAATCGACAAATGGCGATTTGAGTCGTATATCCCTCTCGAGATCAGACCATCCGAGGCTAGGTTTGAACCTACACAGCCATTGACCTTCGCATCGGACGTTTGGAGTCTTGGCTGCATGATATGGGCAATCCTCGGCGTGAAACCGTTTCTTGCTGCAAGGTTCTTTGGGCCAGAATGCGCTGCCGCAGCTTGAATTGATGCCGTGGGGCCTCTGCCAGATGAGTGGTGAGAGAAGTGGCAAGCCAATACAAAGACAGAGTCGTTTGATGGGAATGGAAGACCAAAGCCAGGTAGAGAGGTATGGACATTCGAACAACGAGTGGAAGATAGCATACAGTAACCGCGGAGAGAGAGTGGTATGGAGATGATTGCTGATGACGAAAGGGAAGCCATCTTTGAGATGATCAGGGGCATGCTGAAGTTTTGTCCTTGCGATCGCATGACTGTTCAGCAGGTATTGGAAACAAAATGGATGAGGAAATGGGCCATACCAGGAGCTGAGAAATCATGGAAACGCGGAGCACCTTCTTTTGACAAGTTTCAATCATTTCAGTGTAGGACTATTGCGATGATTAGGGGTCAGAAAGTGATCATCGAGAAATATTCTGGCCGCAACTCAGCGCCCTTGACCTTTTGTCATAGAGATCAAGGTTCATTCTGCAATTGAATTACCAGAGGAATATCTTTTGAACCCCCGAATTTTGGATAACCAGTTAACGGAAAGGTCATGATCCTCTTCCATCCATCAGGATAAGCTATCGTGGTGCGAAGCCTCCAAAATTAGCGCCCTCTCGGTCCTGGCGCCGCAGCCGCCTCGTGACAACCTGTATGCATTCAACGCAATAAGGAAAGAAGGTCAGAGGGCAACAGGATGGGGCCTAAGACTATTGGCTTAGAGCGAGAACGCGGTCACGAGGTGCAACATATCGCCCCGGTAATCCGCACAAACAACATCAGTGACCGAACGCTACGACAGATGAGACCCGAACCAAGCTGGTTGTATAATGGACGCCGCAAAAAATGAAAGTGGCCATGATGCGAGATTTCCGTGGGACAGAGGTAAGTTCAGCACGGTAAAGAATGTTCTTTGCGCACCGAGAAGTGTCAGGAGGCCCCCTGCGGAGCCATGGGACAAGGGACAGTTAGGGGCTAAGAACTCGGAGAACATGTATTCAAAGGACTGCGCAGGGCCAGAAATCAGATGTATTACAACGCAGGTAGATATTGTCTATTACTTACGGGCCACGTGCGATAGACCCCTTCGCTCTACCAAGAAGCATCATAATATTCACCCATGAGGGCATCAATCCTGCCTTAAGGCGCCTAAGATCAGTTCACAGCATGATTTATTAAAGTGAATGGTCGAAATATCGACTTGCTCATTAGGGTAGAGAAAACAAAACGAAATTGAAACAAAAGACATACAACACCAGGTATTCGCTGGTCGTCACCGACCCAACTACTAATCCGGCCCTTACTGGCTTATCTATGGGAGAGCGGACGGGATCCCGAGCTTTCCAGCAGGTATGGTCGTATGTGCTAGACGTCGCCGCTTTTGTTAATTATAATCTTTCAAAATTCACTCACACCGATCATCAACCCTTCTTGTTGGTGTCCTCACGACCCCAATTAGGCATGCAGCTAATGAAGCTAGGCAGTTCCAATGATCAAGTGCTAGGGGGTCCGTTTCAATTACTGAGCCTCTGGCTCCATGCAATTGCGTGATCACACGGCAACATTGCAAGCTGATGTACCTTTGTCTGGCAATCTAGGGTGTCTAACACTCATGAGTCACTGAATCTCGCGATCCTTCGAACAATACGCGACACCTATGACGCCAACCCAAGCGCAGAGATAGAGCTTGCGACTCCCTGTTACCCCTCTTTAGTCCCGATGCTACCCATCAGGGTTCATCACGGCGCGCCGTATGTGCTTGCAAACCGTTAGCGACATGAGTTCAGGCGCTGTCCGTTATGACCGGCCTACATGCTGCTTCTGGCTCTCACGGAATCTTGGAGCCTTATTCATTCATTACGTTTGGCACAGCGTTGAGACACAAAAGAGGCAGACACAGCACCTAGAATTGCCGGGTACGGAGTCCGTGTTCTGGTGGCCTGAGGGCAGCACTGTTCGTTCGGTGCACCAGATGGAGCCGGCGGAATTCCCTCAATCGGCCATTTCCATCCGATGCAGGCTCCGCTTTCTGCGTGATGGGCAGTGGCGGGATCATGCATCTGGGGCCAAGTGAGATCATCGATGAGTTCATCAGGGTCCACGAGCTCGAGCGACCCCTCGTACGTCCATTTTGTATGGAGCAATACAACGTAGGGGCAGCGGAATAAGAACCTTGTGCCCCTCACTCGTTCCGAAGCCCACCCCTCACTACACACATCTCGACGATATTTCTCATTACAGGAGCCAAAGAGAAGACAACTCTGATATCAATTAGCACACAGTCACCTTTCAGCAACCCCAAGAACCACTACCAACATGTCGTTCGGCACCAAGGCTACATTCCACACCGGCGCGCAGATCCCCACGCTGGGATACGGCACCTGGCAGTCGTCTCCTGGCGAGGTCTCCGTGGGCGTCTACGAAGCCCTCAAGGCTGGCTACCGCCATCTTGTAGGGCCCCTCGCTTGGATCAATGATTTCCTGGCGCGCAGCAAGATTGCTAACTGTAGTCACAGGATCTCGCCAAGATCTACCAGAACCAGCCCGAGGTCGCCGAAGGCATCAAGAAGGCCTACAAGGACATTCCGGGACTCAAGCGCGAGGATATCTTCATTGTGAGTGCCCGCAGATGCTCCAGGCCTCTAGGAACCAAGGATTGATGCTGACTGATGGATCTCTCAGACCTCCAAGCTGTGGAACAAGTATGTGCTCGCACAACACCTACGGCATTCCGACTACCTTCTGCTGATACTCGGAACTAATTGATCAATAGCTCTCACCGTCCCGAATATGTCGAGGCCGCCCTTGATCAGACTCTGAAGGAGCTTGAACTTGACTACCTTGACGTACGTGGTTCGGCACTTCGTTGTAGCAGGGCAATAGAATAATGTCGCTGACAGCGTGCAGCTCTACCTCATCCACTGGCCTGTCGCATTCAAGCGCGACGGTGCTGCTGACGCTGACAACCTCTTCCCCGCCTCCGAGAACGGCAAGGCGGTCGCTGTCGACGACGACGTGTCCATTGTCGACACCTGGAAAGGTACGCATATTCCCGAGACCTCGATGCCGTACTGTTTCTGACGAGAATAGCATTGATTGATCTGCCTAAGTCCAAGGTCCGCAACATTGGCGTCTCCAACTTCACGGTCGAGCACCTTGAGAAGGTCATCAGCGCCACTGGCGTGGTTCCCGTCGTCAACCAGATCGAGCGCCACCCTCTTCTCCAGCAGAATGACACCGTCATCAAGTACGCCAAGGAGAAGAACATTCACATCACTGCCTACTCTGTCAGTTGATCTCGCCATGATTCTTTTGGAAGGATGCAATGGCTAACCAGGATTTAGGCATTCGGCAACAACAGCATTGACGCGCCGCTCCTTCTCGTCAATGACACTATCAAGGCCGTTGCCGAGAAGAACTCCGCGACCCCCGCACAAGTTCTGTAAGTTTTGACACGCTCCCTGCAATCAAGGTGTATGTACTAACATGGGGATAATAGGCTCGCGTGGGCCCAGATCGGTGGCCACAGTGTCATTCCCAAGTCTGTAACCCCCTCGCGCATCGCAGCCAACTTCCAGGAGATCAAGCTCTCCGACGAGGATTTCGCCGCCGTCAGCAAGATTGGCGAGAACCCCGTGCGATACAACATTCCTCTGCGCTGTAAGTTTCCATGTTTTTCCATGCTAGCCTTCTGTTCTGAACTGACCTGACGCAGACTCTCCTACCTGGGATGTCAACATCTTCGATGACGAGGTTGAGAAGAAGGCGACGCACCAGATCGTTCTTGGTGCGTAAGGGACCTAAGGGGATCAGGATATAGAGCGTCACCGCGAATAATGAATACATGTCCATACGCCCTTGGCACGAGATCTTACAGGACACAGTCCAGGTCGCTTACATGATCGAATGAGACATTAATGGCGAGCTCGAACTCTTACTCCGGCATTCCAGGGATGTTCCCATCTCGGTTCGCTGGCCGAGACGTGCGGTAAGCATGTGCATATGACCGGCATGACGGAACGTCATGCCCTGGTTCCCCGGTAAGGCGAGGACGAGCTAAGTAGCTACATATGCAGTGAGCCTTGCGCTGCGAACTGTCTGCGACCCAAGCTTGAGGGAGCAGATGAAACTAGGGCGGGGGCGTGATCCATTCTTGAGCTTGGTCTGTGGAGAGAAACATTCAGGGTGCTACTGGTTTTCGTTGCTCCGTCGAAGGGCAAGGGTCTTTGAAGCTTCGCAGCCCATGGGCAAATGGGCAAAGCTCTAGGCAAATCATGGACCTAATAACAATTGGCTGCTTTACGCAGCCTGAAGCAAAACGTCCGTATGCGGCCCTGTGGGTTGCCACAAATGGAGATGAATGGTCGGTCCCGAACCTGGAATTCATGACGGCTCGAAGCGCGGAGTCGGACCTAGTTCCGACTTCACGGATCCTGGGGACGGGCTTGTCTTCGGTGACATCGCACAGGAAGGTGTTAGGGTTGCGAAGCCCAAAGCGTCGCAACGGAGATTCGCCCCGCCGTTGAAGCTCCAGGCGGCTCGATCATGTTTCGTGGCTTTGTACGATGCAAGGACGTGATTACAAAGGTGTGAGCTAGGGCCTAAAGGGCGGGAGCTAAGGTAAGATCTGAGGCTACTAAAGATCCGTACCCAGATCGCCCGCCCTTTATTTTCCGGCGCGATCTCCCCCGTTCGGACCAACAGCAGGAAGACGCGATCTTGAGACCCGACATCGACGACCACCATCTACAACGACCAGGAGCAGATGGTCCATCCACTGCACCCCTTGCAACTCCCATCCTTGTGCCTTACCCGAGGCCTGGATGATGTGAAACAGTGCAAAAGCCAGGGTTGCAATACCGCGCGTCTTTTCTTTTGCTACATACAGCCTGCGGACTTCCGCCAAAACTGACATGTCGAATTCTGCTTGTCTCCAGAGTACAGACAGGTGAAAAGAGATTTCTAATGAAATTCTGTCAATTTGCAATGCCCTGAGTCCCTTCGTACAGCTTGTGGCCAAGGTGGAGGACCCGCGAGGCTGGCGTGTAGTGAGGAGGCGTGAGATTATGCATCAAGGGTCAAGGATATGGTTTCTCTGAGCGACTGGCCTCCGACACCATCCATTAGGCCATTGGCTCTGAGCGATGACCCCCAACGCCCCATCAGCGCCATCTCTCTCCATGTGACGCCCATGATGAGCAAGACAGACGACATGACGGTACTCATGGGGAGCCAGATCGTTGGCTGCAACATGTGGGCTCACAATCGTGCAGATGCAATTGATTGATTACTTTGCAGCAGGTTCACTTTCTGTGCGACACAGCTTAAAATAGGTTCGAGAAAGATTTCGCGCAATGGTCCTGTCACCTGTTACACCTACGCATTTCTGCCCTACCACTGACTTTGTAAGGCGTCATGTTGAGATCAGATCCGGCTGCCAGCCGAGTGAAGTTTCTCCGGCATGCTTGTAGATTGCAGGTTGCAACATGTCGGGAACATCGGGTAGCGTCACCAGATAGACACTGGTCTCTTGTTGTCACCTCATTTTGACCGCGTCGGGCCGAGTCTTGCTTTCTGGCCTTCTCTCTCTTCGTCATTCTGAGGGTGCTAATATTTTCTTATTCCACCAAGCCCCCGTTTTAGGCTATGTGGCACAGCATAACACCTCTCTCTTCTCGACCGGCCTCATTCTGTGTTCCGTGGGACCCAAAAGAGACTCAAGGGCTTCCCAGACTTCGAGTCATCTATCTCGATGATAACGACCGAGCCACAGGCTCACGAAGCATGCTGCGAAGCATATTGGTGGTCGCACAACGTGGTTAGCCTAGAACCTTTCTCAAAGCCGTCCTGCCTCAACTCTCCATAGGCCCATTGTGGTACCCGAGAAACATGCGCTAAACCAACAGCATCTGTACCAGATCTCACCTCACTCCGTCGCCCTTGGATGAGCTGGAGTGGCCCCACCACGTCATCCCTGTCCTTACGACAAGGGGTCCTGGCACTCGCTCCTGATTAGGCACTACATGCGATTACTGATCCGCGTTGGCGCCGAGTGCTGATCTGATGCTGGAGGGTTTCCTCCCGGGGAGGCTCCCGGTTTTTGATTCTGGTGTCCAGTTGCTGCCCCTGTATGCATCGACGTTACCATACCAAATGGACGGATCACTCAGATTTATCGTTCTGAGGTCGTTACCCAAATCAAGCAAGCGCCAAATCTAAGGCTGAGAGGAAAGTGCCAAGTCGAAGAGGCAACAAGGACGTCGCGAAGAATCAGTCGGGTGAATCAATGCTTCTGGTCCCCCTGCCTCAGCCCATCCTTTGTCCCATGTATTTGGGAGAACCTGGCCATCTGCGTGAGATCGCAGCCGCAGGAACGCACCCCAGTAGCATCCAAGCAGTCGATCCAGCAGGCTCGGGAACAGCTGATCTCCTGGAAACAAGGCACGATCCTGTTGCCTTGCGTAGTCCAATCCGGAGCTTCTGTTTCCTCCGCGATATCTCTTCTCTTCTCTACTCTTCGCCCTGGTCATCCTTCCGCAACACACTTTCTACCTAGCATCTCTGATAGATCTCATCTTGCATCTGGACCGACCCGCCACACCGGTCGAAACCCGAGGAACACATCATACTCCCTTGGAGAAATGGCCCAGGCTGCACCCACACTGCTCTCGCTTAGTCCTTACGCAGCCGCGCAGCGTTCCTTTTCCCCCTCCTCAATCCATCTCTCCGACCAGTACATTGTCGCCCTGCTCTTTGCTGCCACGACTGTCTGACTTTGACATTCCACAATCAGCCCATTGGGCTGCCAGCCTTCCGCTCCGGACCTTGCTTTCACTGTGGCACTCCAGAACCACCATCCCGCCGCCCCGTTTCTCTCGACAAGGCCCGACTATCTCTTAGCGTCTCCGATAATTTTCGGGCTCTCTATGAGAAGAATTGGCAGTCTCTTTGACCGGGCGTGTATCGGTGGCGCTGGCCTTTGGTGACGACAGACTTCGGTAGCCGGGCCTCCATCTACATGCAACGGAGCCGCCCCATCACATCGACCCGCGAGACCGGTCCCGCCGAATGCCCCCACCCTTCCCGCTCCCCCCCTGATGCTGCTCTTCTCTCATCGTCCTCTTCGACCCCTTCCATCCCACGCCCATGGTACCTGATTATTTTCCTAAACTTTAAATAAACTCGTCCTTGCGCCCGCTACCATGGACATGAACACGATCAAGCGCGTTATCCACACCGAGCCCTGCTCGCGCCACCACCGAGCCTCCTGTTACGCTCAAGACGTCTCTAACGGTCCTCCCGGGCAACTCGCATCCCTCTGCTATTCCTGCAGGTATTCTAGCCAGTCTGGCAACATCTCTGCCGCCATGGTCTCCATAGCCGTCCAACCGCCGACAGAGACCCAGACCTGCCGGCCCATATATCCACCTGTCGTCGCCCAAACGCATGTCCGCGCCGGCGGCCGCCACAACAACACGCACCTCTTCGCGACAGCAGCACTGCTCGACGACCAAGGGCGAGTACTCGACGGCCAGTTAGGCGGCGCCCTGGTTGCGACAGGCTATGCCGTCGAAGACCGTGGCTCCGGTAGCAGGCAACAGTCTGTTGCCTTTGCTTTTCCGGACCTAGCGCTCACATATGCCGGCGTGTACTCCATCCGTGTAGATGTATATCGCGTCAACTACGATGATGGAGACACGGACAACGCGACCATGATCGAACAAGCCGAGACGGAGCTGTTCTATGGGTTTTCAGAGGCCGTTGCGGTGCAGAGGCCAAGTAAGCTCACCCCGTCCTCCAATTGCATGCACAGTCTGGTAGTCGCTTGTCAACCATGCTCATTCTTCTTACTTAGCATCAGAAGAGAGGTCGTTGCTGCGCAAATTGAGGCAAAGTGGATGCGATATCCCAAGTACGCCGACGTGAGAACTACTCATGCTCGATGGGGTAACGGCCGAAGACAAACTGGGAGAGAGACTTCGCGTAAGCAGCTGAGTATTGTAATGGAACGTTGATGCGTCATGTATGGATAGGTATTTGGTTGATCACATGCCAGGGATCATGGCAAGCAGGCAAAACAAATGGATATAGAGGAGGGGAGCGATCATCGTCAGCGGATGGGCACAACAGGACCCCACGACAGGCGATTTCATCTGGGTTGCCACATAGGCTATCGGCGTTGAGTCATTTACTGTATCAACAGGTGACAATCTTGGTCGGGAACGAGGAAAACGGCGTAGGCACTGCCAGGACAAACTACAGCTTATAGCAATAGCGTTTCTGGAACAATGCAGATCATGTTTCTCCAGGGTACATATTGGAGAGCCAAGAGAGGAATAGATCAACTGTCCCGCATTTCACCTAAACTGTCGCAGTGGGGACTTTCTGACGATGATGCATCTGCTGTTAGAAGCCAGCGGTGCAAGTGTATTGCTGGCCTTCACACCACATCGAATTGCCGTGTGGTCCAGCGTCCATGCATGTCATCATCACACAGAGCACCCCCTCCAAGCTGTTGGGCCATCTACCAACCCGCTCCTATTTCAGCTCTCGTCCCGGAGAATCGGATTTACCCAGTAAATAGCCCTCACACCCTCTCGACCAAGACACCAACCCACCCACAAGTCCCTGTTCCCTGCACAATATCGATTTGGTTTCATTTGCCAGCGCCAAGCTACAACGGCCGATTCGCGCTAGGGACTGAGAGCCGGTCCCGCCGGAGCGGCAGCTGGGTCGCATGTCTCGATACTCCCACCGATGTCCGCTTTCTTTTGCTTCCCGATTGAGTGTCGACATTTTCCTTGACGCCGTTGGCGTTCCCCTTCTCCAGGGGACTAGCTGTGTCTCAGCGGCGAACCGTTTGCTTGTTTTTAAAGTTTTCTGTCATGTCCTTTCCCAAATATCGGGCTCAGCCGCGGACGTGATGGGACCACAGTCCTTGAGACAGGCGGCAAAATTTGCTCGGAACCGTTGACATGCCACATCATTAGACAGCGCGCTTCCCTTGGGAAAAAGATGGTCGAGACCCACTCAATATCTATTCTCAGCCCATGCATACATGCCAAAAAAGAAAGGAAAAAAAGACACCAACAATCTAGATGAACGCCGAATAAAAACCCAAAAATCAGGAGCCAAAGCTCCAGGTCTACTCCTAATGCTACCAGACAACATAGTGACACCTTCAAGACAAGCCCAATAGCTGCCGTCAACCGCGGCGCGCCTCGTACCTGATGGAGAACGCGGCCGTCCCGATCGTGTCGTAGTCGTTGAGATCCTCTACGTCGCCAAAAATACGCAGCACCTTGACATGAAACTTGTAGCGACCGGCCGGGGCATACTTCTCACTTTCGAGCTGGCCATCTTAAGTGAGAAGCACGTTGGTGTGGCGCGTGATCCATCGGAGTGCGGGCACCGCAGTCCCCATGGTCCTGACGTCGAGGAACTCGTACGTGAGCCCTTCATCGTGACTGCCGACGGGAATGACCTCTAGATACGACACACTGGTACCCAGGATGAACTCGAGATTGACGACGGGGGGAGTGTGTGGGGTATGATCGGCTGTGTCCTGCGCAGGAATAGCGAAACTTGCATTGGCGATGGATCGTGTTGGCGTCTGTTCCCTGTAGACGAAACCATTGGCACTTGCTAGCACAAGCGCCTCTCGCATGCTGCCGGCTGTCTTCATGTAGGGGAGGTGCAACACCTTGTCATCATACCGTACTGCGCAATATAGCCAGAGTACACAGGTAAGCGAGTGTTATCGACATGCTGTAGAAGGTCGAGAGACACCGTGGCCTTCTCCTCTATTCCCGCCTTGACAGTGATGACAGGCTTGCTGAAGTGGAGAGTCGCATAATCGTCTGTCAGCTCGTTGGGGAAAGTGTCTGCGCGGCCGGTACCTGCAGCAAAGGTGTAGGCCATGGCGACAGGACGGTGGTCAAGTGTGTAGGTAACTTCTGCATCTCCAATGTTCTCGATGCTGAATAACAACGAGCTGAGGTGCTCCGTATCGTTGAAAGCGAGACTCGACACGCTGAGGATGGTGGTGATGGAAGCAGCCCCGTACGCTTGGATCAAGCCAGCTCCCTGCTGGGGAACGGGTGCGAGTTGGCTGGAAGCCTGCTTTCCATCATTAAAGAATTGAGACTTGGCTGTGGCAGCAAATATATTGGTGAGTTCGACTGGATCAAGATGTCCGCGGATTTCGGTCATCAAAGCAAGAATACCAGACACGAGCGGAGTGGCCATCGATGTGCCACCGAACACGGCGCAGCTCTCCAATGCTCTTGGCCAGAGAAATAGAATATTTCCTCCAGGTGCAGCGAACTGCGGCTTCAGTTCAGCCTCCCACGTGGGACCCCATGATGTGAAGGTGCTGGCAAAGCCTCCAGTTATGGTGTTATTACCATGCTGAAGGACAGTGTCCGACTCGATGGGGTCGGTCACATAAAGGGTCACCTTGGAACCGGCCGCTAGAGCCTGCAACCAATACTCGCCTTCTTCTGCAGGGGTCATGGCCACTGCAAGAATCCGAGCATGAGTCGACGAGACATCCTCGATGCCAAGTGCGTTGTTGTAGAACATGATGTACTTAGCACCCTTGTCGGCAGAATTTGCAGCTTTCTCGTCATACGTGCAAGTTCCGCTGCGAATCAGAACAATGCGGTTGTTCAAATCAGGAGTGTCGGAAGGGGAGGGTCGCAAGCATCATCAAACACCTCGGTGTCAAGGTTCGTCGCGTAAAGGGGAAACTCCACATCAGCCCACGCAGCAGGGGCGCCCTCATGCTAGCTAAAGTCGACCTCGCTATCGTCATCGATGCTGTATGTAGACTCTGTGAGTAGCTGAGGTATGTCTATATTATGAAAAGAAACGACAATCATGGAACCGATGCCATCAGCTGGCCCAGAGGCAAAGAAAAGTCCCGATGCGCCTGAGTTACCCGCCGCAATGACGCAGGGCACTCCTTCCTCAACGATACGCTGCACGATGACAGAATTCTCTTCTTGAGACCAAACCTGATCACCCCCAAGAGAAGGAAAATGATGTCGCTTCCGTCCTTGAATTCCTGGGCGAAAGCTGCAGCTATAGCGTCACCGGGAGCCGTGTCATTGCAGCCGAAGACCTTATAGTATCCCAAAGTTACATCGAGAGCAACACCAGTGAAGCCAGGCGAATTTGCTTAAGCTGCGATGGTGCCAGCGACGTGGGTGCCATGCCCGTCGCAGTCCATGGTTGGCTCCTCAACGTTGTCACCGTCAACATAGTCATGACCGTATGACACGATGCAACCCTTTCCAAAGCAGCCTCCAAGAGCAGAGTGCTTGAAGTCGATCTGCAGCTCGTCAGCTTTCTCCTTATTGTGCCCGGCCCGATGGTTTTGTAGCGTCAAGTACTTACATCAGTATCGATAACCGTGATTTTGAAACCCTTTCATGTGTAACCTGCGTCTCGAAGCATGTCGAACTGTGTCATAAGGTGTGGAGTGAAAGCGTCATGATCACGGCCGCCTTCTTGTGTATCACGCTTCCGACACTTCTGATACTCTTGCCCGCTGTTGCCGGTCCATATGATCGTGTCGTCGGGCCGGCGATACTCTTTTAAGGTGCGGATTGACCTAACACCGGCCATCTTCCCCAGCTCAGTAGCTTTCTCCTCCATCATGTCGAGATCTCTGAAGTGAATCGAAGTGCCGTGAGATAAATTGTAATTCAGACCCCTCCTTCTGATTGCATGCCCCTCATAAGCTTTATGGCCTGCCGCCGTCTCCTTGGATGAACAATTGCAACGTTCAGGCTGTCGTCTACGAATAGCGAGTGTGACGGAGACTAGCCTTTGGCACCACTCCAAGAAAATGTACTTACAACATCATGCTCAAATTCAACAAGGTACGCACCCAGGATTGTTTGCGAGTGGGGGGCAGCGCTCACAACGGTCGAAGCCGCTGCGAGTAGAGAAAGAAAGAAGTTGCTGCGAACCATATGGTATGTGACAAAATGCTAGACTTAAGGTAATAACTAAGGTTTGATCGGTGCCTAACGGCACGGTATACATGTCGAAACCCAGGAGAGCATGATGACTGGGCTCGTGAGAGCCAAGCGTGAAAGAGACTGGGGGTGAGACTTGCAGGATCTGCCACTCTGCCACGACGAAATCGAGGCGCACCGGGTGATTGAGGATGAGCTGGGATAGAGGGTTACCTCAGCCGCGACCCCGAAGGTTCCGGATGCATTCACATGCGGACTTCATTATGCATTACAAGAGCAAGCGGGGGCTCAACTGTTGTCGCATGTCTGCGCCGAGCCTCACATCGAGGCGCTATCATCAGCATTGCGATAAGAATCCTGTGGTGTGGTAAGCGGTGCCAGATACCGTAATAGAGGAGCATGAATCCCTGTATCCAAATGGATGCAACAGGAGACGGCCAGATTTCCAAACCACATCAGGGACGGGTGCTCCCAGTTACCGAGCGTCCACTGGGCTTCCAGGACGGCGGTTGGATGCCAGCAGGGGCAAAAGTATCCTGTCGATTGGCGAGATGGGGAAATTATTGTTGTGACTCTCCCAGAATGGCATCGTCAGTCAATGCCCAGGGCTTGGTCAAGTAAGCTCGAAGGCCCATAGGGCTGCGGCTGGACCTGGATGACCCTGTGGGTATCAAACGAATGCCCAATGCTGGTGAGCCAGCGAAGCTGCCTAGCCGAACTGGGCCAATGCCGGCGTACAATTCTTTTGGTGACGATATGCTGACGGCTCACCCATGACAGTTGGATGCCCAGGCTCCGAGGACTCACCAGCCCCAATCATCGTGTTTCGTTGTCCTGTCCATAAAAGAGGTCCGTGTCGCTTGATCAAGTCGCTCGGCGTCCCAGGGTTTGGGCCAGGGTTTACGTTTTTAAGCTTATTTGGGTGGTTAATTTTATGTGGTGTTGTTGTTGTTCGTCTGCCTAAGACATCTTTCGTGCGAGGAGCTTACTCGACTTGGGTATTATCGACTATGTGAGCTTGCATGGTCTCTGGGGGAGGACCAAATTTGTTTCCGCAGTCTGCGTTGCCTGTCAAGAATTCGCTGGCTCGGCATATGATACAGTTGTAGTACTCGTTATGTCCGTGTACTCAGCAGAGAGTCCGAGCATGCATGAAAATCGAGAAGATGCAGTATGATGCAGGTGATTGTATTATGTCGTAGTATGTTGCCCGCTAGCGAGCCTGTTCTTTAACCTGACGAAGGTCGTTCCTCACTATTCCATGCGATCAACCTCTTTCACTTAGGCGAGCAATTCCCTAGCAACAGCGGGCGAGTTAATGTACGCCATACCCTCCTTGCGGTATGTGTCGTCTTCAAGATGATTTTCTGTAGCATTCAAAACCATGTTGACCGGCTTGTCCAGATCATACCGGGGCCACTTGGGCAAGGCCATGACGTCCGTCGCATTATGGCGACAGGCAGGGTTTGGGTCGAGGTTGTAGACGAATCTCACGTACGCCTGTCCTATTGTGCGGGCCAGCTTGACGTGAGAGTCATACGTGGGCGATGCGCCCAGTAGTCCGGAGATGTTCTGGAAGCTAAAGGCGACATTGTCAAAGTGCTGCACACCATCGACTTCGGCGCGATTCCAGAGTCGCTGGTCGAAGCGGTAGCTGTAAACAGGCTGCGACTCTCCGATGGGTCCAGCATATAGCTCGCACATCTTGCGGCGACCGGAGATCATGACTAGGTCGCCACCGATATCTGCTCCTCGACGCCACTGTGAGCCCCTCGATAAGGCGGGCAGACGGCTGCAGTTGGTGATGGCGTGTGGCGGCGCATCGCAGGGGTCATCGGGATAAAGCTCGAGGAGTTTACGAATGGTTGGAGATGATAGTGAATAGGATCGCCAGCTAGCAAATGCATTCTGGAGGTCCTTTGCCGTCTCGGGTCTCGGCGAGGTCGGCCTGAAGTTGATACCCTCGTCCGTGTTGTGTCCAATAAGCAGCGGGACCTTGACAAAGCTTCCTCCCGGCATCAGCTGGCTTGGGTATCCAGTCAAGAAGTCTCCATCGATGAGCGGGTTCCACACTTGGCTGGGGCGGGCAGCGAAAAGAGCCTCCTGGCTCAGGCCGCGAAGGCACGCCAACTGGTTCGAGGCCGTCCAACACCCGACCGAGCGGGTCAGGTTCTCAACAGGAACGGTATAGTAAGGCAGGTTCTGCACCTGAGCGCCGGTCGGACCGCCACTCTCCATGATTGCGCCCCTGTAGAGGCCATCATCGCGCCCGTCATAACTGAAGAGGTGGTAGGCGATGCTCTGGGCTCCGGCACTTTCACCCCAAATAACAACGCGATCGGGATCACCACCGAATGCGGCGATGTTTTCTTGGATCCAGCGGAGAGCAAGTCGCTGATCGAGAAGACCGGCATTGCTTGAACCTTCAGCCAACAATTGCGGCGTTTGCAGGAAGCCGTACATGTTGAGACGGTAGTTCATGGCGACAGCGATGACAGGTTGACCCATGTCTTGGCTGACCTTGACAATGCCAGACAGGTTGTACTGGGGATCGGCAATGGAGCCAGTGTAGAGGCCACCGCCAAAGATCCAAACGAGTACAGGAAGAGGCTTCTCCTGTTTGCCGGATGGTCGAACGACATTGAGGGTGAGGCAGTCCTCGGACATGTCGAAGTTGCCGCGATACTGCATGCAGCTGTATCCCTGTTTTGTCGCGTCTCGGACATCGGTGAAAGACTCGTTGAGGCTTCGTGGCCAGCGCCATCTCAGATCCCCGATGGGAGGTTGAGCGAAAGGGATGCCCAGGAAAGCATCCTGGTCCCAGGAAGAGAGGTGGGCGCCCTGGTAGGTGCCGTTGACAGTTGTTGCGAGGGGTGCCTGTCCCACAACGGCCTCACAACAGCAGAGGGCCGCCCACAGAAAAGATCGGGCATGCATTCTAAGTCGGCTCAAAAAATCTGCAGGTCGAGAGTGCCAGAGAATCAAGACTAAACAGGCCGGTTGGCAGGTAACGACGGCATACTGCTCATATACCTCGAGCCCTGCCTTGCATTCTCCTTTGGTCCGCCAATTTGATATCGAAGGGTAGGCATCTTGTCTAGCGGTCTATATCGTCCATGTCGAGGTGATTGGAGGAATTTCCCAACGACCGGGGTCTCAATAACACGGAAAGACAGACGATGAAGCAACCCCAGCTAGATGCACTGCGGGGGATTGCCGATCCAGGCCCCGCGTCCGACGGGGGCGGGTCCTGGGGTACGAGGGCTCGACGCTGAGTGGCCGAGTTCGGGCTCAGGAGATAGTCAACTTTAGAAGCCGGACGGAAATATGAAGCCTGGCTGGCTCCCTAACGGATAAACTGAGAGGAGGCCTTCCTGTTTTTGAAGTGGAGTGTTTACAAATGTCGAGGTTGAAGCTGCATTGCACTGAGGGAGGCCATCGACTTTACGGGGGGCTTTGTTCGCTGAGTCAGCGCTGCCCCTTTCAGTTCGGCTCAAGTTCGGCTGGCCATCGGCTGCTGAACAATTGGAGCTCACTCATTTGACGTCAGCCGGGCACGGGCAGAGTAAAGAGATTCTCGCAATTGGCCTTGCAGCGCCTGAAGCTTCCCCAAAGCGAACTACCTGCCCGTACCTCACGCCACGATTCCAACAACCTGCATCACCCCAGCGCCTTCCATCACGATATCCCACCTCCCACTGAACGTCAACCACGCCGAGACTCAACATGATCTGCCGACTCTGCCAACGGGCCCTGGCGCACACGAAGCCCTCGCCGTCCCACATCCTCCGCGCCGCACCCTCGTTCCGCGTTCTCCCCACACTCTCCCAGTCGCAAGTCCTCCGCACCGCCCAAAGACAGCCCGCCCGCCTCGCGCCCCAAGCTCGTCACTACTCCCAAGCCAGTGCTGCCGCTGCCGCGCCGCCGGCACTCGAGAAGCCCGACTACCTCGACGAGGCCGAGGCCTGGATCTGGGACACGCTCGTAGCCGAGTTTGCGCCCCTCGAGCTCAACGTTCGCGACGTCTCCGGCGGATGCGGCTCCATGTACTCAATCGACATCACGTCGGCACACTTCCGCGGCGCCAACATGCTCAAGCAGCAGAGGATGGTGAACAAGGCGCTGGGCGACAAGGTGAAGCAGTGGCACGGCGTGCAGCTGCGGACCAAGGCGCCGTAGGAACCTGATGCTCGGAGATCGGCGGTGGAGAGGATGTACGAAAAGTGTATACTGCGGGGTTGTCTTTGGCTGGGGAACCTGTACAACAGAACATGGAAACGACGCTGCACTGCTGGAGCACAGCTCGGTGCCTGACTAGACATGAGCATAGCATGTGGCAGGCGAGAAGATGGACTGCACTCTGACCAGTTTGCAAGGGTAGAGGCAAATCGGTGAAGAAACGCTGCCAGTGGGGAATTCTTGCGAAGCTACATATAACCGAGAAAAATATGAAAGCTCAATACAAAGCTCCCTCACACATCAAGAATATAAACTGCGGTTTCAAAACGCAAGCCAAGCATCACCACCAACCACCACGAGCTTCGGCGCCCTTTTCCCACCAACCTCAAAAATGAATTCACAATCAAAAGAGCAACCAAAAACATACAACATCAAGGATTCGCTGGTGGTCACCCACCCAACTACTAGTTCGACCCTTACTGGCTTATCTATGGGAGAGCGGACGGGATCCCGAGTTCTCCAGTAGGTATGGTCGTATGTACTGTAACGCGAGGCTGCGCAAACCTATGCCTTGATGTTGGAAGCCATCCCGAGGCTATGTTGAAGGTGGACCCTGTCCGACCCAATCTCTCAAGTCCCAGCATCAAATTGAACACGTCATAGCTGTCTCTGTCAAGAATCGGTCCAGCTTGAGTAAATCAATACTCGCTATTGTTGCATTCACGCACAAGTGGCCCCGAAGCGACAAAGTGGACGCTGGGCATCTCGTCCCTCCGAGGGGAAGACGCCTTGGTTGATATACTGCTTGGCCCTCGTACCAGTGGCGGCAAGTCTCGGCTCACGGCAGTGTCACAGGCAGCACCCATTTTTGGGGGCTAAGGTACGAGCAAAAACGAGAAACATGGCATAATGGGGGTCCAGGAAAAGAGACAAGAAGGACAAAAAAGATAGGCTACATGGCGATGCAGTCTACGGTCGGACAGCAAGCATCTCACTGTACACATTCCCCGCCGAGTACGTCGTACCAGGTCATTGACTGTGGCCGATTCCAAGCGGTGGGTGATGCCCAAAACAGGTCATCCGTGCCCTCTTCCAGCCAATGCGGTGGGTCGCCGTTCCCCGCCCAAAGATGCAAAAGCTGGGGAAGAAGGAACGTTCCGAGCTTCAAGGTCCCGTGCCTGCCACTGACGTTGCGTTGCGTTCTGTTCAAGGCAATGACCCATTGCCAGTCTTTGTGCCCCGCGCGAATCCGCGCCCTGCGCCTTCCGTCTCGGATGTTTCATCGGACCTGCCCGCCGGTCGTATAAGTTGGCCTGGCGCCCTTGGTTGATCGTAATTCTTACTTTCCTTTCCCCCAATCCCCTCCTAACAGGTTCTGGTCCACGTCACGATCTTCGGAAGTCCACCGAAGCGTCACCGAGTCCGTCCGTACAGAACAGTTGGTCCTCTGAGAGAAAGCGGCCTCGTGCCAAGACGTCAGGACATCAAGCCACCAGGCACATGCTTCACTTCCCTCCCTCACACCCCCGCCCGTTCCCTCAACCCCCACACCGCGTTCCGTATCCGTCAGGTGCTGGCTGTCACGGCCCTATCGGACAACTTAGCTATGCCCTTCCGACCACTACCCCGCGGGTCCGTCCTGCGCAGCCTGTCAAGGCCCTCGCCGGCGACCGCTGGGCAGAGTTTCGGCCGAGGATCTATCAAGTGTGCATCAACCTCCGCCACCCGATCGACTTCACGATCTGGATCCCGTCACTTGGCACTTTCCTCCATACCAGCACCCATACAGCGCGGCATCCTTGTAAAGGAGGATAATACCAGGCGTTTGGCGGTCGAGCAGATCAGGAACTATGCCTCGACAGCGCCAGCCGCCATGTACACTGCTTCTTTTGCCTTCTTCGAAGCGCTCTGGGATGCAGGCGTCACACATTGTTTTGTAAACCTAGGCTCCGATCACCCAAGCATCATTGAAGCCATGGTGAAAGGCCAACGCGAGAAAAAGGGCCGGTTCCCGCGCATGATTACCTGTCCCAATGAGGTAGGTCATCTATGCTGCCGCCATTCTAATTAGCGGCGTGTCGCACTAACACGCGGTCAAGATGGTGGCCATGTCCATGGCCGACGGCTACGCCAGGCTGACGGGCAAACCTCAATGCGTTATTGTCCACGTTGACGTCGGGACTCAGGGCCTCGGCGCTGCTGTGCACAACTCTTCCACGGGCCGAGCCCCAGTCTTTGTTTTCGCTGGTCTCTCTCCATTTACATTGGAGGGCGAGCTCCGAGGCAGTCGGACCGAGTGTATGTGCGCCAATTTCCCCTGCAGATAACGTGGGATTGAGGCTGACAATGGCAAGATATCCATTGGATCCAGGATGTGCCCGATCAGAAGCAGATTCTCGCGCAGTACTGTCGCTACTCGGGCGAAGTCAAGACTGGCACCAATGTGAAACAAATGGTGAATCGCGCTCTGCAATTCTCCAAGTCGGATCCTCAAGGGCCGGTATATCTCTGCGGTGCCAGAGAAGTCATGGAGGCTGAAATTGAGCCGTACTCCATCCCACAGGAAGAATGGGATCCCGTTGAGCTCGGCGGCCTGCCGTCAAAGGCCGTGGACAAGATTGCCGAAGCGCTGGCCGGCGCCAAGGAACCGCTAATCATCACTGGCTACGGCGGCAGGGATCACAAGTTCCCCGGCGCACTGGTCGAGCTGGCCAATGCGGTCAAGGGTCTGCGAGTTCTGGACACTGGCGGAAGCGACATGTGTTTCCCTGCAGACCATCCCGCATGGCTCGGCCTCAGGTTTGGATCAGACGAGGCAATCAAGACGGCCGATGTCATACTTGTCCTGAACTGCGACGTGCCTTGGGTCAACACGTTGTGCCACCCGCGCAAAGATGCAAGGATTTTCCACGTTGATGTTGATCCGTTGAAACAGCAAATGCCTGTTTTCTACATCAAGGCCGAGTCGAGGTACCGCGCAGACAGCCTAGCCGCCGTTGGTCAGATCACGGATCAGCTCAAGTCAGACAAATTGGCGTCTCTGCTCAACAGCAAGGAAGCCGAGACCCGTGGCATGCAGTTGCAGGAATCGTACGAGCGACGGCTAGCCACGATTCAGGCAAAGACGAAGCCCTCGGAGGATGGAGAGTTCGGCACTGGCCACCTCTGTCGAGAGCTACGCCGCCTTTGCCCCGACGACACCATTTGGGCGGTCGAAGCGGTGACCAACACTGGCTTTGTGCATGACAACATTCAGCCAGTACATCCTGGGTCGTGGATCAACTGCGGCGGCGGTGGTCTAGGATGGTCCGGCGGAGGAGCGCTGGGCATCAAGCTGGCGAGTGCCGCTGAGAACGGCGGCAGGGGCAAGTTTGTGGTCCAGATTGTGGGCGACGGGACCTTCTTGTTCTCGGTCCCAGGAAGCGTCTACTGGATTGCGAAGCGGTACAACATTCCAATCTTGACCATCGTCTTGAACAACAAAGGTGAGTGCGATAAGGCTAGTGGGAGCCGAGATGCAGGAACTGACGCAGTGACAGGTTGGAACGCACCACGGCGGTCGCTTCTGCTCGTTCATCCCGACGGCGCTGGCGCTAAGGTATCGAATGAGGAGATCAACATTTCCTTTGACCCATCGCCTGACTACGCAGGCATTGCCAAGGCAGCGGCGGGTGGTGACCTGATGGCTGCGAGGGTGGGCCATGCGGAGGAACTCGAGGGCATGTTGAAGAAGGCGATTGAAACGGTTCAGGGAGGACAATCGGCTGTTCTCGACGTCAAGGTTACGAGTGGCTGTTGAGCGAACGAGCAAAAGCCGCAAGAGAGTGATGATTATCACCATGCAAAGAGGGGGTTCGGGCCCAATACTGCCGTACATGGATGCCGTTCACGAAGCGGACACAAAAATGTTTTCTGTTTGCGCCTCTCTGAGTGTGGGCGCCCACATGCATGCCTTGTATATGTGTACAACAGGTACCTTACCGACGGGAACCTGGCGCCGCGCCGTTTCTGACCCATCGTGGAGCCAGCCCGAGGTGCGAGCCACGTCGACTCGCATCCGACGTGTCTAGACCCAGTCTGACAGGCCGTGTTCGAGGGACATCGTGACCTTGTGCGCAAACGACACGAGGAGGGGTAGGTCGAACCCGAGGACCAGGTAACAGCTGCACAACTCGTATCTGCAGTTCAAAGCCCCATCCATCTTGCTCGCTGCTTCTGCCTGTTCGACTGTGTTCGAGACCGGCGGAGTAGGAAAATTGGTCGTGAGCTACGTTTTCGCAAGCTTTCGGGGGGCGGCGAGAGAAACAGCCGCATGGACTCGTCCGAAGTCAGAGGCTTGGTCCCTGTAGGCATGGCATGGCCCCTGTAGGCCTGGCATGGCCCCTGTAGGCCTGTGGTCCTTCTGAACCCTGGTGCCCCGCCATAACGTTCGGTGTCAAGCGACGTGGGCATGGAACAGTGGGAAAGCGCGCCATGGGAGAGGGGCACGTTAGGTACATATTCGGAGCACTGCCGCTGTTCACTTCGGGGGAGTGGGGAGTGGAGAGTGGGGAGGGGGAGGGGAGGGGAGGCTCGTTGGAGCCGTTGGAGCACGAGGAAAACGAGGAAGGTCCAGGCAGGAAGGAGCAAAACGGTCACCGGGCCTTCTTTCCCTGCCAGCACGCCGACGGCACCATTATCTTAGGCTGCTGGGAGGGGAGGCCGGGCAAATCACATTAAATAAGAGATTAGGGCCTCGGTCTTTCCCCTCTTCCATCTGAATCGGGTCTCGTCCTGTTGCTCTTTCTCCTATGAAACCAGCCGGCATCGCCAGCTCTTCCTTCAACGTTCAACCGAGAGGCCCTCAACGATCCATCCCGGCACGGGACTCCGCGGTTCACCTGTCGTCGTAGCGCTCGCTGCCCTGGAGGCACTTTGCCTGCTACCTTTCACAACCCTTAGCCGGTGATCGACAGCATTCGCCACGCCTTTTGTTGTGGTTCCTGCATCTCACCAACCTGCCTTACCTACTGAGCGGCGATACCGAGATGGCGATCAGGCAAACGACCTGATCGGACCACAACGACATTTCGATTTCGATTGACAAGACCGAAAACAGAACGGCGCTCTCTCTCTCTCTCTCTCTCTCTCTCTATCTTCGCAAATCAACATTCTCCGTCCAGCAATCACACGGCTCCTGGTACCACAGCGATCAGAGTAGCCAATCTATCGCAAACTATTGTCACTGGTGCCTGTGGAATGAACAGCCAGGCAGGCGACAACGTTTCGGTTATCAAAGGACCATTATTCGCGTATGCCGCCACCCCGCCCGCTCTCCCACCATACGCCAACCTTCGTCCCCTCACGCGTTTGCTCGGCTTGGTTCGAGACCTCGTCTCTAGGCCTTTTGCCAACGCCTCCCGGCTTGCATCTGCGCGGCACCTCTGCACCTGTGCACCTGGCCTGCAGCGGCGTAACCGTCTGGTGCTGTTCCGCCTACCGCCGTTGCCGATCAGTTCCCATCTGCGCATCTTTGCCACAGGCCCACCATCTTGTATGTGCACCTTGAGTTGAATTGCCTTTTTTCAATGCCTGCCATGAGGGGGCGGAATTGGGGGATCAATACAACCCCGAGAGAACTTGCAGCTGATCGTAGCCCCGCACAAGCTCGCTCGACCCACGGACAGCCGACTTCATTCAAGCCGCGCCCCCCCACCACGCCAGCCCTGGCATGCAAGACGGTCGAGACCAGCCTGCGAGAAGCCTGTAACCGCCGCAAGGACAACCATATACACCAAGAGCTCCACTGACCCGGGCCTTATCTTCTCACTACCACAGCATTTTTAACCACGCCATTGGCCGTTCGCTGCCATAAGAACGGTCCACTTCACACCATTATCCCCGGAAAACGTCGTCGCCTCTTCCTGCTCGTCGCAGCCGACTTTGTCGCCATTGCAGCGTCTGACCTTCTTGCCACGCTGCTCCGAGCCAGCGCATGTCTGAGCCACCCGGAATCCGTTATTGTGAACAACATCCACGCAAACCCAACCGAGGCACGCGCACGAGACCGACAGACAGCAGCCTGGCAAGCCCGAGCCGAGCTTGAGCTTGAGAACATGACCGCTGCCTCCTTCCGTGCCATCATCAACCATATCAACAAGCTTCCTTGGGCTCGTCTTCAGCCGCCAGCAAGCGCACCTGCAGGATAGATCCGCCCAGCATGTCCTCCCACGGTGATGCGGTCCCCGAAGCATCGTGCGACTCTGGTTCGAGCGATGTCCCCGAGCTCCCTCCCCCGCCGAACCCTGCCTCCGATCCCAGTCTTCTGACGGGCGACCACGAGGATGACAATCCACGATCGCCGCCACCGCTACACGATGATATATTCAAAATCTCCCCGAGATCAGCTATGAGGCTGCTTAGTTCGGGCGTCGAGGCTCTAACACGCATAACTGGCGATATTCCGCCTACCCCACCCCCCACGAGTCCGACTCTGCCTCACATGCGAGGTATTCAGTTCGAAAAAGACAGCATCATACGGTCGAATTCGGAGAAGAATCTTCTACGCATGCGCCAGCAGGCCGAGGCTGCTGCCCTTGCGGCTCGTGAAGAGACTTCGGCGCCGCAGCCGATTGACGGTGTTCACCTTCGACCAAGCTCCACTCCATCGCCCCACGGCCAGCAGCAGCATGAGCCGTACATCATAATCGGCGAGAATTCACAGCCATTGAACCTCCAGCACGGCGCCATTACGCGAAAGTTCTACTCCAAAAAACCGCCACCGATCAGCATCGAGGACTATCTTGCTCGATTACACCGGTTTTGCCCCATGAGTACCGCGGTGTACCTGGCTACAAGCCTGTATATTCATCGCCTCGCGGTCGATGAACGAGCGATACCTGTGACACGTAGGAATTGTCACAGGTTAGTTCTCGCGGGATTACGCGTCGCCATGAAGGCGCTCGAAGACCTCAGCTATGCGCACGGCAAGATGGCCAAGGTTGGTGGCGTCAGCGAAGTTGAATTGGCCCGATTGGAAATCAGCTTCTGCTTTCTGGCCAATTTCGAACTCGTTGTCAGAGAGGACGCGTTACAGAAGCACGCCGATGTGCTCCGAGAGGGAACATCGTTCCATGTCCTCCGCCAGGGCGTTCCGACCCTGACGCTCAACCGAAGGCCCAAGGAAAGAATACTCACTGCCGAGGGCAAAGAGAATGAAGCAAAGTAAAGAGAGCCCTGCGAATCACCGTTGACTTCTCACTGGTGCACTTGTCGGTTGTTTGGTAGCCTAAATGGTCGCCGCCATGGCACTCGCTGCATTCTCGCATGAAATGAAATGGCGTTGGCCGCGTGAGGTGGCTTACCAGGTCGGTAGGGGATATCTAGTTTTTTATGCATTTCGATACCCGGCGTTGGGCACATTTGCTTCGATCTCGCGTTGCCAACATCTTGGTAGCCGGCAAACTGTTTGCATAGCATAGCATTGCCTGGGTCATTGTATAGCCAGGTTAGCAATAACATTTGAGGCTTCCGTACATTTTTAGCGACGTAGACGAGATTGGAACGAACGTATGGCAAGCACTATATGGCATGGTAGATTCTATGTGTAGTCTTGGTCCTATGTATATACGGTGTTTGTCGAACCTGTTTATGTCTAGATACACACGAAAAAAATCATCCCGTGCTCAAAGTTCAACCTGACGCTATCGTGATCCCCCGCTGCTGCGCCTCCCGGCACGCAGCCCTGCGTGCTCGCAAATCTTTCTCGAACGCCGCCCGAAACCGTCCCGCAGCTTCAGCGTCCGCCGCGGCCATCTTGACCCTCTGCTCCGCACGACGCGCCTCGCATTGCGGGTCCAAGAAGGCGCTGGATGCGTCCTTGCTCTGCAGCCCGGCATAGAACCCGCGTCCCGCGTCCCGCGTCAGCAGCACGGCGGCCCACGGGTCGTGCTCGGCGCGACACATGACGTCCCACGCCCGACTCGCCTGCAGCAGGACGCGAAAGTTGTCTTCGACGACCTCGGCCACGTCGCAGGCCACGGCGCGGGCGCCGGTGGCGTCGCTGCCCGACACGACGCCATGGGCGCGGACGGCGCGGTTGACGAGGCGGAACAGCGGCGCCGCGAGCAGGCCGTGTGCGAACAGGGACGGGAAGCGGCCCCCGCGCAGGGCCGCTGCGTACTGCGCCTCCTCGTCGCAGCGGGGGCAGAGGGCCGGGGCGGACGGGTGGGCGCCGTCGCCGAGGAACTCGCGCTGCGCGAGGGTCAGTGGCAGGGCGCGCGGGCCGTCGGCGGCCGTCGGCAGAGGGATGGACACGGGCGCGCGGCAGCCGCGGCAGGTCGTGTCGAAGAGGCAGAGGGGGCACTGGGGGCTGCCGAGGGCGGTGCTGGCGGTCATGCAGTTTGCACCCAGGACGTGGCCGCAGTGGAGGAGGATGGCGGGCTCTGTTTCGGGCAAGGAGCTTGCGGGCGGGACGGCGAAGATGTCGAGATTTGCGGAGCAAAAGGTGCAGGCGGGGCCTGGCCTGGCGTGGGACTCTGCGTTGTCGGGGTGCTTGATGCTGTGCCTGATGATCTCGGGCCAGAAGTACGAACAGCGTGCTGCTGGGCCTCCTGTCGTCCTCGGGCTGACCGGTGGGCTGCTTGAACAGCTTGAAGCAAGCTCATCGAAGGGTGGTACAGGCAGGCTTCGGGGAGCTGCTGACTGGAGTCTGTTGAGGGAGCCGTGAGCGCACGTCCAGAGAGGAGCGCCGCATGTTCGGCAGCCGGAGAACTTGGGCTTGTCATCCGAACCGACGTTGCTGTTGGCGTGATGGTCGAGTGGCGGCTCGGTAATGTCAACATTTGGCGACTTTGATACAACAGCGTCGTAATCATCGCTGTGTGGCAGAGCATGCTCGGCGCTACTGGCCATGTTAGCTGCCAAGGAGCGCGACTCTTCACGGCGCCACGAAGAAGCCGGGTTTGGGTTTGTCTCCTGCGGTGACACATAGTCGGGTAGGTCGGGTGTTTGAAGTACTATGCTGACACGAGGTGAATCGACGCGCTGCTTCTTTTGCGATGGCCCCTGGGCTAGAAGCTTAGTATCAGCTCCATCATGAACAGATTCGAGGCGGCGTTTCTTGGATGTGGTGTTTGGTATCATCGGTTGGTTATTAGAGAAGGTTCGGTCTGACACCGAAAGGTTGGTGCCCTTTGAACGGCCCGACCGAAGTTGCATTTTTGATGAGGGGCGGGGAAGCAAAGTAAGGATCTTGACGGTGTGGCAGTTCGAGGTCCCAATTTGAAGTGGTGATTCAGATACGAAGCCAACGCGCTGACGTTGCCGTTTGGGTACTTATATGGCGACCGGTAGCCAGAGGTTGATGATCCGTATCAGAGGGGTCTTGAGATTGCCGCCGCTGAAAGAAACCATGACGGGGCTGTACATAGCGAGATGTCGCGCGTCATTGTTGAGAATGAACAGCAAAGCACCTGTCTGACAAAGGGAGTGCTGTCTTCACCAGGACAAGGCCTTGTGAAGATAGAGACCGTGACGGATGGTCTAGCCGGCGAAGACATCAAAGAGGAAGTGGCGGTTTTGTTCAGGCGGGCGTTGAAAGAGGATGTTTTAGGAACAGTTTCGATCGTTGACGATTTTGGGACTTGTGCAACAGCCCTCGACTGCATGTTCCAGACGACAGACGATACGACCTCGTCTTCAAATGCATAGTGCAGAGAGGTCATGGTCTGGGAACAATGTCGGTTGATGCTGTTCTGGAAGGGACGGCTTAGACTGGGCGTGGCGGGTTTCCTTGCTCAGCGAGGTACGTACCGGGGAGCTCTCATCGGCAACTAAGGTACTGAGTAGGTACCTGCAGTACCCACCCATGCACCCTTGCCATCGAATGATTGCCATCGAACGATTGCTCCTGGTCAAACTGTCAAAGAACAAGTGTGGCCTTGCGCTCCAGGCATCAACAGGTCTAGCCAATGCAGCTGTCTGCTTCTGGCGGCAGCTCCCTCTTAGCGCAGTGCCTTGAGCGCATGCCTTGAGCGCAATGGCTTTAGCGCAGTGAGTACCGAGTACCTCCCTGGCAAGCCTGGGTAGGTTTCTGGCGCGAGCTCGACAGGCAGGTACCGAACCCCTGTCACGCACGAGGCACCACCAGGACGAAGGCAGTGCGATAGCGATAGTGGGCGACAGTTTCCTCTTGTCACCAAACACCATCAGACACCTCGCTCGCTTCCAGTTGCGGTGCAGTGGCAGTCACACTCGCTACTACAACAACACTGAACGTCAATTGACACCGTCTCACCCCCCCCAGACTCACCCATAGCGCAATCATCTGCATTTCAACTGCCCACCATGCCCACCGAGTACGAGGAAAACGACGTCGAGAGCTCAGCCGCAGGCGCCAGCGCTGATGTCGAGATGGAGGGCGCCACGGCTGTCGCGGGCGACGAGACGGTCGTTGCCGAAGAGACAGTCGTTGCCGAGAAGGATACCGCGCCAGAGCCACGCGCTACCTTTATCAGCTACCTCATGAGCCCTGTCGTCACCCTGTTGATTGGCAGCAACGACAGCGAGTCCATCCTGACAGCGCACCAAGCCCTCCTCGTTCAGAGCCCCTTCTTCAAGGAAGCTTGCGCCCAGTTCAGCGATGATGGCAGTGTATGTTCCTACCCTTCTCGGCTCCCTTGCTTTTGCGCGCCCCCCATCCCCTTGCTGACCTCTTCTCCGCCCAGCCCCGGCAGGTCGAGCTGCTCAACGAAGACGTCGACGCCGTAGGCAACTTCCTCGAATACCTCTACACAGGCGACTATTACCCCCGGAAGATCCCGGGTCAGCGCACCCTCGAGTTCGACCCCACGGCCCCCGAAGTCGACGACACGGGAGACCAGTTGCTCAAGCACGCGCGCGTGTACACCCTGGCCGAGAAGTTTGGCGTCGACGGCCTGCGCACCCTCGCCAGCTCCAAGATTCACTGCGTCGACTCGACCGCCAAGGGCGAGATCGCCTACGCCCGCTACGTCTACCAGTACACCGCCAAAGACGACACCACCATCCGTGCGCCCGTCGCGAGCTTCTGGGCCGCTCGCTCCCACACGCTGCGCGCCGAGGCCGAGTCCGAGTTCAAGGCCCTCTGCCTCGAGTTCCCCCAGTTCGGCTACGATATCCTCAGTGAGTCGCTGCATACAACGATGCCTCTGCCCCTTGCTGACGTCATGTTTTTTTTTTCCCCTTCACAGCCCGCGTACTCGACGAGAAGCTCAAACGCGAGAGCACCGGCAAGATGCATCCCTCAAGTTCCTCCGGCAGCGCCCGCAAGCGCGCGAGGCACAGTGGTATTCGAGGAGAATAACGTATACATCGCTTGGATGGAGTTGAAACACATACAGTACTGGACCGTAGAGCGTGATCATAGCTTACATATTCATCAGGCATCACAAACGCCTTGGATTGCCCATGCGCATTCGTCAACACCGGGCGGCGGCCGGGCAAAGACGCATTGCGCCTGCACAGAGAGTCTGTGTTTGTGACATGATGGAACACCAACATGTTCCCTCTGGGAGCGCGTCACTTGAGCTCAGTGCAATCTCTTCAGACAATAGCATTGTGTTCGATGGATAATGTTGAGACGGCCGATCAGCAAGCCTCAGTCGCTTCACGCAAATCGCCTGTCTCGAACTACAACCTGTCGGTTGTTTGAGACCCCAAACCCGCAATCATGCTGAAGCATGGCAATGGCCTTGGTCGCTTGTGCCGTGGCATACTCTTAATTTAATAAAAACAAGCAATTGTCTTCATTTCGACGTCAACATGATCGAACGCGAACCCATGCACCTTGGACGGCGACGAGTACCTCTCATCCACAATTCATTTTACCAGAGTCTCCTGTTCGCAACTGCTTGACAGAGACGCTTCACGGTATTGCACTTTACGAGGACTCGCTCATCCGCAGTAAGATTCTATTACCTTCCCAGTGACGCCATCTAACATGTCTAACGCACGCAGTTGGTTCGAGAACAGGAAAGATTTCATGGATCTGGCCTCATCCGCCCGAGTGAGCGCCAAGTTTGCACCTGCCACTAGTGCTACCTTGATCAGTATCATTCACAGTCTGGAGAAAGTGGACGTCCACCATCGGCCCTGCGATGCGACTATCCCCGAGTCCGCCGTCGCCGAAAGTTTGCCAATACTGGAGCCCGGCGTCAAGCTGTCTGGCCATTTCTGGCCCGACTTGAAGGAGCAGCTGTTTGCCCTGCCGGCCGACGAGGCCTGGGTGCACCCGGATCTTGACTGTCCCGTCTGCCGCGAGAAAATGGCCTTTGTCGGCGCCTACACGCTCGAGGGCGGCCTGACAACCACGTCGGCCCACGCCCTCGAGGTGCTCCACAGCCACGGCATGGAGGCGGCGAGCGTGCTGCCGTGCGGCCACGTCGTCGGGCGCGAGTGTCTCGACCAGATCCTCGCGTCCCCCTTGCACAGCCGGTGCCCCTTCTGCAAGGCGAGCCTGCTGTACGGATGCGACGCGGCCCTGAAGACGCTGCCGGCGCCGATGGACCTCGTCCAGCTGCGCCGCTTCCCGGCCGTCGTCGTGCCCGAGGGCGGCTGGGCGCCCCGCCGCTGCTACGCCTGCGAGTTCGACGACTGGCGCGTCGAGTGGGCCGAGAACGTCCTGCTCCTCCTCTGCGTGCTCTGCAGCGACCTCGTGCGGCCGCTGATGACGGCCTCGAATTTTGTTCAAAGGGCGGGGAGGGAGAAGATCAAATCCGTTAAGCAGAAGAGTCTTGATAGGTTGAGTGCGCGCTACGCGGCGTATAGAGAGACGTCTTTGAAGAAGCTCGAGGACCTTATGACGGCTGCACAGGTGAATTTGCGCCATGTGGAAGAGGGGACGAGCATGACTTGGGCGTTGAACCTTTGGGCGTGAGATTTTCTTGGACTTTGGGGCGCGCTGGCCGCGCTTCCATGCAGCGGAGTTTCTTTGGGTTTCTGGAAGCATCATGCTTTATAGATGGGCATTATAGAATAGTTTCGTCTCTTGACGCCAGTCTTGTCCGTCTACCCCCTCGATTGCAGCATGGGATATAGATACACACCGAGTCTCGGTTTCGCTTGTCTTGCCACAATACAACAGTCATTGCACCGAGCGATCCTTAAAAATGCAAAGAACGTGCGTCGAAAAATACCTAGTGTTCATCTCTCCCTAACTGCTTCTGTTCTTGATGTTCGAGATCCTTGCTGATCCTTGCTGATCCTTGCTGATCCTTGCTGATCCTTGCTGATAAGTGATGAAGCATGACCCCGGCCAACACCGAGGCAACAAGAATATTCCAATGAAAGGTTAAGAATGTATTCCATATCATTCTGATTCGGCTCGGGTAGAAACTTTACAATCACTGACTTATAGTGAAAACTCGACCTAAGTTAGGCCTGCCTCTGCAAGGCAATCCCCGAGACCCAAAGATGTCGCAAAGCAAATCAGCAGCCGCCCCCCTGCAGAAAGATTGCAGTACAGCTTGCCCTTTTGACCCCGAAGACTGCTGGTTCCCCGAGATTCGAGAAAGACTGCAGGATAACCCGGCCCTTTTCAGTCAACTTCGCCTCATGTGTGTCGTGTGCACCTCCGACATGCTCATCGCCGGAGATGGACGTCCAAAGTACCCACGGCCCCCTTCTCGTGTGCCGGAAGATGACCTGGATTTCGCTTGCGGCGAGGGCCCCGGAAGTGAGTCCAGCAAAGACTCGGTCCAGCTGGCGCTTCAGGAGAGGCAAGCGCGTGGGCTCGAGCCGCTCGAGCCGTGCATGGTCATGTTTTGCGGCCACATGTTCTGCGAACCATGCGCCCTCCTCCTCGGCGAGAACACTGGTGGAGGAACCGCAGAGTGCCCCTTGTGCAGAAAGGATTTGCGCCGTCCGTTGTGCGATCGGGACGAGCACCCACACCTGGCGATGATCCCCTTTCCTGCCACGAGCGCAGCTCTCCGAGGCTTCCCGCGGACATTGATGGAAGGGGGCCGGCTGCCTCCGCTTTGCGTGTGGTGTTTTGCAAACCTGCTCACGGACAGTCTTCTCAGAAGGTACCAGACTGCCCCTGGCGATGCTGCCAGATCCTCGATCGAAGCCGTGATGTACTGGGCGGGACCTGGGGAGTCTTCTGTTGTTTCCACACCGCTTGATCCCGAGCTTGGTAAATGGCAATCTGAGCTGGATGGGCTTCAGCTGGAGTTTCTGGACTTTGCTGGAGCTGACTGGGCTGGCGACCGGGTTTACCTGCCTGGGTTTAAAATGCTAATCCGAGTGGCGATGAAACGACGGGGCGCCATTTCTGAATGAGTAAGTGAGTGGACAAATCCGCTCTGATCATTGTCCATCTAGCTAGTGGTGATTGTTTGCCTTGAAATCGGCATCTTCCCTGGCGATTGCACCAGAGGGGGTATTACTTGCCCCAAAAGGCCGAGAATTGGAAACGAAAAACGACACTGCACGCTTTACGGGAGCAACAATGAATTTGGTGCAAATGATGTTTGTGTCTATTCTTTTTGTCTATGCCGCTATCATAAAAACGTGAAATCTGTCGTGCATATTGGCCTGGGCCAAGTCATCCATCAAATCAATCACAGGATGCCCTCGACAGACTGAACCACGGGGTACTTGTTGAACCTGGGGTTGTACACCTTCTGGCAGCGACTGTTGAACTCGTCGGTGGTGCCCTTGATCAGCGACAGCTCATCGGCAGGCACGCCGAGCTTGACGAGCGGACCAGACTTGGGCTTGGCCTTGTCCCAGCCGGGGCCGGCAGCAGGGTTCTTGATCCACTGCACAAACCAGCCGTGGATGGAGTCGGCAAGGGCCTGCTGGGCGGCGGTGACGCCCGAGAGTTTCTCGAAGCACTCGTTGCCGCCGTGGAAGAAGGGGACCTCGGTGCCGTGGGTGGGAGCGGTGCCGGGGGGGCCGACAACGTTGTCGTAGGCGCCGAAGAAGCGGTAGACCCAGGTATCCTGGGCGTTGCTGCGAACGTCGACAAGGTAGTCGGAGGGGCAGTTGAAGCGGGCATCACCGTACTGTGTGCCGCTGCGCAGGGACTCCGAGGCGAAGGATGAGGCCGGGTAGGCGCTGATCAGGTTGCAGTCGGGAATGTGCTGACTGTCAGCATCAAACGTGTTGATCCAGGACGAGAAGTTCGTGTTCTGGCCGCCGTAGACGATGCTGAAGATGGTGCCCTCGCCATCGGAAGTACCGGTCAGGAGGGGAACGTGTGAGGCGTACTTGCCAGCGGCGAAGCGGGCGGCATAGTCGGAGTGCCGCGTGATGTCGTCGATGACGGGAGTGAACCAGGTGTTCGAGGTTGCGTTGAAGTTGGCAGTCTGGAAGGCATAGAGATCAACGTCACGGAGGCAGTCGACTTGGCCCTGGCCGCCGGCCGGGCATCCGACCTCAGCGGCAACGATGTCCAAAGCCTCATTCTGGGGCGCGTAGCCGGGGCCAGACAGGGCGTTGGCGCTCATCTCAACGGCACCCTTGAGCCAGGTGTCAGGGTGGTTCCAGAGATAGTGGTCCACCTGCACGGAGCCCGAAGAGTGTCCACCAAAGACGATGTGGTCGGGGTTGCCACCAAAAGCTGAACGATTGTTAGCATGATGGACTTGAGGCCGGCCGGTCATGGAAACTCACCCTTGATGTTTTCGCGAACCCAGTTAAGGGCCTTTTCAACATCGAGAATGCTGAAATTCTGGGACTCGCCGGGGTTGGCAGCATCCAGCTCGGACGAGTACGGCGAGGCGAAGATGCTCTCCCGCGTGTTGAAGTTGACGTAGACGACATCATTACGAGCAAAGTTGGTTCCTTGCAGCTGGGGATCGCTGCTGGAGCCAGTGACCATGGCACCGCCGTACATGTAGACAAAGACCTGGTCAGATGTGTTAGTGGCGACATCATCACCGTGAGACGCCAGCTGTCGCGTGGCGTGAAGAAGACTTACAGGCAGGTTCTCGCCCGTGGCGGGCGCCCAGATGTTGAGGTTCAGGCAGTCCTCACTCTGCTGAGAGAACAAGTTGCCCCTGATGGCCTGGGGGCAGGTCGAGCCGTACGATGTTGCGTCGAATGCCGCATTCGAGGCGGGCACATCCTGAGGGGCACGCCATCTGATCGATAAATGTCAGTGAGATGCGCTCGGACACGTGGGTCACGGGCGGCGGCAGCTGAGTTCAGATCGCCATGACCCTAAGGATTATCAGGGGAACATACCGGTTCTTCCCGCCAGTCGTAGCGGCGAAGGGAACGCCCAAGAAGACCGAATTGCCGTGAGTGTCGCGGAAGCCTCGAATGGTTCCCTGCGGGATGACAGCGCTCGGGACGCTCGTGGCCGCAGCGGCCGCTGTGGAGGGGAAGAAGCACGACACAGCCGCTAGGCTAGCGGCTTTGGTGAAGACGTTGACGAGACCCATTGTGCACGGCTTCTGGCGGATTACTGAGGAGGTGCGAAAAAGGGTGAAGATCGACTGGACAAGACAGCTGGGCACACGTCCTTCATTTCTCTTTCGCAGAGGAGAGGCGGGCGACGGGGAACATTAATGGATTTCCCTCCATGGCGCACTACCGCCAGATCGGGCACGATGGTCATTAGCAGAACTGGCAGCGGCATTGCCGGTGGCAGGGCAGACGGTGATGGCACTATCGGTACTATCGGATCCCCCTACAGGGCGGCTTGACCGTGACGGCTCTCGGGGTGGAGCAAGACCAGGATCCCGGATCAGTGGCGACGAGCGAAATTCTCCACCGGCAGTACGCATTTGATCTTTCTCCCGTCTCTATAACCCGAGCTTGATCAAGGGTCCGACGCGGCAGCCAGGTGTTGCCTGATCATGAACCCTTCAGGAGATCACTGACAGGGCTTGACAAAGATTTATTGGGTTCTAGATGCAGTAGAAGCATGGGGAATTCATGGAAGGAGGGGCACGGCCATGTAACTGGGCGAGGTAGGGAGTGACTGACGGCTCCTCGTCTTCGGAGACATCTCGGCGAGGTCAGTCGGTGATGCGAAGAAATTGATACTCGCGCTGTGCTGGATACGATGAAATGTCTCTGAAGATATCTTCTGGGCGGATTAGCTCCCAAGTTCACAAAGAAATATTCCTGTCTAGAGAATATTTTCCAGCCGGTGGACAGATTAGGTGTGCCTTGTGGTGATGACGACCCGGCGAAATGCTAGGGCTCAAAGCAGTATCGATTTGCAGACCTAGAGGACGAACCAGCTGAAAACGCAGAACGCAGGCTTCGGCACTGCCCCGACGACAGACTCACAGGGTCTCAAGTCCCCGAAACTGGGCCTCACAGCGCCAAGTTCATGGCTAGTTTCATTTCCGAAGAAAGTCCAGTCCACTGCAGCACATCTCCACCAGTAGTGGGCTCAAGAGGCTTGCATTGGACAGGGGCGATGTGTGCTCGTGTCGTGCAAGCAACAGGAAGCGAGCGAGCCCTGTGCAGACAATGTGAGACATGATTCCGGCATCCTGTGGCCTGCAATCCCAGCCGACCACGTGTGATGTCTTCCAGATAGAGGGTCACAGCAGCAGCCCTTGCATCAATTTCTCCGGTCGGTGGAACAGGATGGCTATCATGGAGAACTCGTGGGAAGCCTGGAAGTGGCAACGGCGACGACTCGCGTGCAGAACGGATGGGACCCAAGCGTTACAGTGGCATTTCTTAGATATGCAAATCGGTGTTGCAACGCCAAACCCCGCAGCCGTTGCGCCCTCCGCCGAGATGATAGTAAAAGCCGATATCGAGAACAGACAGCGGGTGAAGCGGGAAAGGCTTTCCAAGCGTGTGACTGGTGAGGCGAGGCTCGACGAATGACTCGCAACTTGGTGGCCGAATGGTCACGGAATCGTTCCCCTAGCAAGCTTCTTCCCTGCCTCGGATGTCCTCGAGACGCCTCGACTTGCGCTAGAGGACGGACGAAAAGGTACGCTATCGCCTCTTGATCGTGCCATGGACGAGCCGCCTCAGGGGCTAGCGCCTCGACGAAAAAACGGCCTTGTGGATGTCGATCAAGCCATTGAGGGGCGAAGTGAGGAATAAGACGGATACCTATCCCACCATCTTCTCTCCGTGCGCGCAGGTCCGCCGGTCCACCTTGTACAGATAAAATCGTCAGTCTGTTGAATCGTGAATCGCAATGGCCAAAGATCACGGACAAGTGGTATGTACAATCTTCCTTGCTGTAAATTAATGCAGGTACTTCAGAGACGCCCGAAGATCTCTGCCTTTCCTGTATCTAGCTGACGATCTTTACTCTGAAAAGGTATCATGGTACATTTGTACCGCGGTGGCCTTCGTTTTCGTCGTTGCGAGGCTATGGGTTCGCATCAGCAAGTTCAGGAGTCTGGGTATCGACGATGGCTTCATCATCCTGGCTTTGTGTTGCCTCATTGGTGACCTGGTCATCCAGCAGCACATGTTCAACCTGGGCATGTCTGATATGGCCAATGTCGACCATGAACAAATGAAGAAGATCATGCAAATGATTGTACCTGGATCCGTACTTTATGTCACCACCTTATGGGCTATCAAGATTGCGCTGGTCATCTTCTACAAGCGCATCGCGGCGGTTGGCTCAACACTCCAGAAGATCTACAACGGCGCCTTGTGCGTGCTTGTCGCTTCGTGGGCAACCATCTTCTTTCATATCCTCTTCCAGTGCTTCCCTCACGACAAGCGCTGGTCGCAGGATCCGGACTGTAAGTCTTCAAGGTGCGGCAACATTAATATGGCTTGTATTGACTGTATCACAGACCAATGTGACCCACGAAATGCTGAGATCAACTACTGGTTGACAATCATCCGTAAGTCTTTCCAACATTGCCCCCTTCTCGGAGAATGAAGCTGACAACATGCAGTCAACATTGGCACTGATGTCATCCGTGAGTGGCCCTCGATCGAATCCGACATGAAGAATGCCCCGAGAACTAACGCCTTGTAGTCATCAGCTTGCCCATCTCCATGGTCATGAAGCTTCAAATGAAGTTGAAGCAGAAGCTGGGTGTAGCTGCCATCTTCGCCCTCGGCTTTCTCGTCGTCATTGCAAGCAGTACGTCTTCAAGTGGTTCTGACCTGTATTGCCATATCGCTAACCATCCGCAGTTATTCGCGCGTACTACTCGAAGCGGAACGAGACCATGCTCACCTGTACCGTGTCCATGATCGAGGCTTCAGTAGCCATCATCGCCACCTGTCTCCCTCGTACGTCAGCCCATTGCTTTAGCCCAGCCCTGATAGCCGCTAACATATCGCTCACAGCCCTACGGACCCTTTTCCTCGGCCACTTCTCCTCTGCAGGCACCAACTCAGGCTACCGACACTACGAGCTTTCGTCCGCTGGCCACGCACGGAGTCGACGCACGCAGCAGAGCCGCATCACCACCAACATTGTTGGAGGTACACACAAGAGCAACGACTCGGAGGACGAGCTTGTCAAGGACCCAGCGCGCACAGCGCCTCCCAGCGGGGCCGTTCTGGCAGAAGAAAAGGGTGGAGGCATCGTCGTGAGCACGACGTTCCAGATGGATCATGGAACAGATGTGGAGTCAAACAGGTCGACACCGCTGTTTCATGCTCAGTAGGCACGGCAGGGACCACGGGTTACGGAAGTCAAATAGCCATTATAATCACATCGGCCTTGTGTCAGCATGGGTTCAAATTATTTAACTCTTCATCATTTCTTGAAAAGAGGTGCTTCCGATTCCTCAGAACGGAGGCTTGCACATATCGGGACCTACTTGGTTCTAGCTATCCTTTTGCTACTACATGATAGGAACGGGTTAGTTTACCAGCATCGTACCAGCATCGTCAGGCCACACAATAGACCTATCTCTTCCAAGAAGGAAGAATGTCGGTGACAAGAAGCAGGAGGCTTTTCGCTATTGCGATCACCACGTGCCTTGACCCAGTCCTACGCCGCGCCCCACGTTGTCCGTCGCATGGCATGACGGAATTCTCCCTGCGTTCGAGATGGCAAGTTAGTGACGATCCCTGCATATAGATCAATCCTGTACCCCGGACAATTATATGCAGCCCACACCGATGACTACTTGGAGTTGATGCATCGGCACCGAGGCAGTGATACCTTTCAGGTGGTAATAGGTCCGAATACTACATTTTTTACCACTGGCCTTGGCCACACAGGAGTTATGCTGCCACTTCTGGATTCCCGCTGAAGAAAGTCAATGCGTAGTCGCATTTGGATCAGCGCACAGGAACACGAAATAGACCCAGCATCGGAAGCGGACATTGACGCGCGAAAGACTGTCAAGCGCAATATCCGAGTCTTTCATTCATTTCAACTGCGGTACAGGACCTCCTTGATAGTGTTGGCGTCGACGTTTGCACCGCACAAGAGGATAATGCTTGTCTGGGCCCCTAGTTGGTGCGCAACTTTGTCGAAGCCCGCCAGAGCCAAACCGGCAGACCCTTCAACTATCATAGTCTCATCAAACGCAATGCTCCTTATGGCCGCAGCGATTTCCACCTCATTACATTCAATGACCTGATCCACCACTGCCGACGCCAACGGCAGGGTGATGCTGTCCTCGTCTATCCCGCCAGCAACACCCTCTGCCAGCGTCGGTAGATGATCCGTCGCGATGATTTTGCCAGCAACGATGGAATCAGCTAGAGTTTTCGAGTTTGTAGCAGAAACGCCGAAAATCTTGGTCCGCGGGCTGAAGGCTTTGAGAACGGACCCAATACCACTGATGAGCCCACCGCCTCCCATAGAGACAAAAACATTGTCAACGTGGTCGCACTGCTCCAGAATCTCGAGGCCGATTGTGGCCTGGCCTGCTACAATGTCGGCGTCATTGTAAGGCGAAACGTACGTGTACTCGCCGGACGTGGCGAGCTTCTGTGCATGCTGCTCCGCCTTTCCTGCTTCCGAACCGTAGAGGATGACCTCGACGCCGAACGACTCAATCTTCTTTCGTTTTGAAGGAATGACTGTCTCTGGAAGGACGACGGTAAGAGACTTGTGCAGGATACTCGCAGCCTGTGCGGAGCCAATACCGTGGTTGCCCGATGATGCCGTGATCAAGGGATTGCTGCCGGTCTGATTCGACATCTTGGACATGGCCCCTCGGAGTTTGAACGACCCGGTGAGCTGGAAATTCTCAGCCTTGAAGAAGACTTTGGCGCCATGATTGATGCCTGTTTTCTTTGCTGGAATGAGAGGCGTCTGGTAGATGTGTTGGCGGATGCGCTGCCTCGCTTGGACAGCACTGGCAGCGATTTCGAGCGGCGTGGCTGACATGGCGAGGGGGTTGATGGTGTTCGTTGGACGTACGACAGTGGAGGTTGCCAGCCATTGATAGACCCTTAGATCTATCACCGTCATCAAAGACCCTACGCCCTGACGGTCTACGGGCAGCCTACTGAGTTTAGCCGCGATCCACTACGTCGCGGAAGCCCATCGCTTGATTGGTCTGAACGCTTGACTTGCCCAAATAGGCAAGTTTTATGGTGGTGACTAGGAGTCAGCATGGATCGCGTACATGGCATTTGGAATACCCAGGTCATGGAAGGATGACTGTTCTGCAAGAATGTTGACTGATTGGGCAAGCCGCTTGTCTTTCCGAATCAAGAAAATGGGCAAGTCCCTCAGCGACAAGTGTCAAGAGTGGTTCGATGTATCGACGAAGAGAGGGGTACGAAGCGTATTTAAAACAAGAAAGGGGCGTTCCCCCAAGGTGACGAATTCGGGACCAGCCTAGTTTTCTTCAAGTTCGACTGAGCTGCCAAGCAGCTCCAAGATGACGGTTATAGATCAGGGTCAAGCAAGGCCCATAGACCTCGCGCGAGGATGGCCCTCTCTCGATATGCTTCCCTCGCACCTGCTGTCCGAAGCCGCTGTTAAGACGTTGAAAGATCCTTCCAAATATTTACCGGCCCTACAATATGGAGATGACGCCGGCTACGGGCCTCTCCGAAAGGACATTGCAAGCTGGATCTCGAATGTGGACGGGAGAGCTCACCTGCCAGAGCACATTTGCGTCACAGCAGGCGCCAGTCTGGGCATGGCCAGCATCCTGCAGAGTTTCACTGACCCAAGCATCACCCGGGCAGTCTGGATAGTGGCCCCTGCATATCACCTCTCCTTTGGAATATTCATGGACGCCGGCTTCGACAATCGGCTGATGTCGGTGCCAGAGGAGACGGATGGAATCGACCTCGAATGGCTAGGGATACAGCTGGCAAAGTATGACGAAGATTACAACCAGCCAGAGCTCGTACGTCCTGAGACCCTCCTCCGTGATATGCAGTCTCTCTCGTTGCTGACATACCCAAGAACACTAGGAAGCCCAGTTCAGGCCGCAAGTTCTACCGACATGTCATCTACACCGTTCCGACATGCGCAAACCCCTCTGGCCGGACAATGTCCCTCTCCAATCGCAGCAGACTCGTCGCCCTCGCACGAAAACACGACGCTCTGGTTATTTGCGACGACGTTTACGACCTGCTCCAGTGGCCCCTCCTTCAAGACTCTCTCCTTCCCCCGCCCCTCCCCACGTGCCCCGAAAACGAAAACTACAAAGTCTACCCTCCGGTACAGCTACCAGAAAACAAAGCCCTCCCTCGCCTCTCCGATCTCGACCTCGACCTCGGCCCCTCGGCCCATGACGTTCAGAGCGGAACCCACTTCGGCCACGCCATCTCCAACAACTCCTTCTCCAAGATACTCGGCCCCGGCGTCCGCACAGGCTGGGTCCAGGGCGCCCCGGCCTTCGTTCACGGCCTCTCGCAGACGGGCTCGACCATCTCCGGCGGCGCGCCGAGCCAGTTCGCGTCGGCCATTGTGCATGAGCTCCTGCAGAGCGGGTGGCTCGACGAGCACATTGCGCGCTGCGTCCGGCCCGGGCTCCAGAGGCGCCACGCCATTCTGGCGCGGGCCGTCGGTACCCATCTCGCCCCGCTCGGCGTGTCGTGGGTGCGGCGCGACGATGATGGTGTCTTTGGCGGGTATTTCCTCTGGCTGACGCTGCCGGTGGGGAGTCCGCCGGCGACGGAGTTTGCGGCGCGGGCGGAGGCGGAGGAGGGGGTCTTGGTTGTGCCGGGGGGTCTGTTTGGTGTACCGGGGTGTGGTGCTGGAGACATGTACCAGAGGAACGTGCGATTGTGCTTCGCGTGGGAGGATGATGGTATCTTTGAGGAAGCCGTTCGCGGCTTGGCGAATATTTTGCGCAATTCCGTTAGAAACGGTGTATAAGTGGCGGGTTGTTTTAGCCAAGTGTGGCTCGAAGCTATGTCAATTAATGCACGCGTAGTAGACCAACATGCACAATGCAGCCTGAGTTTTAGTTCGGAATAGTAACGATTAAGTTTGCTAAGAGAGGTGACCACCAAGTCGTGTGTGCCCTGTGAAGGGCGTTATGCTTCCCATGGTATCCTATGCTGTATGACCAAAAACACCATGCCATGCAAAGCCCAAACCGGGCTCATTATTTTGTTTTCAAATGCATCATCCGTCTAAAACACACCGCCGTCTATGTGTGGGGTATCGCCGACCACCTTATATGGTTCTTGTTTTTTCTTCATTTCTCCTTGGTGCCGACAGGCTCCTCAGAAGCGTCGCCGGCCTCAGTGCGCTCATCGTCAGACAGAACACCACCTTGACTGGCGCGGCTGGCGCGACGCAGCTTCTCCTCCTCACGCTCAGCTTCGATGTCATCTTCCATAATCTGGTCAGACTCGCGCACGACGGGAGGCTTGGCAGCACCGGCGCGCATCTGCTCAAGCACAGCAGCGGCCTCGGCGGCATACTTGCACTTGAGGCGAATGGCCTTGCCGTAGCGCCAGAAGAGGTAGGGGAACGGAACGCAGGCCAGAGCGAGGAAGGCGGGAATGGTGGAGGCCCAGTGGATGCCAAGGTCGTCGTACATGTTGCTGGTGAAGAGAGGGAAGGCGGCGCCAAAGAGCGATCGGAGAACACTGTTGGCGGCTAGGGCCGAGGCGGCGAAGACGACGTACGAGTCGATGAGGTAGTTCATGAGACTGAGGAAGACGAGGACGAGACCAGCGCCGAAGAAGCCAGAGGCGATGATGGAGACGACCCAATGAATCTCGGGGCCGTTGGTCCAAGCGAACCAGAAGAGGCCGACGGGAAGGAGAACAGAGCCGATGATGGCGGGAGGGAGACGTGCCTCGGGCTGAGCAGCACCACCGGCGGCCTTGACGGCAGCAGCGTAACGCTTGTTGTCGTAAATGCAGTAGCTGACGGCGAAGATCATGCCAACAGCAACGCCAATGAAGGCAAGGCCACCGATACCGGGGGTCCAACCGCGGTGAACCTGGTACACAATCGGGAAGGCGGCGAAGAGCATGTAGAGAGTGCCGTAGATGATGGCCATGTAGATCGACGTCAGAGTGACAATGGGCTCGCAGAAGAGCAGGACCCAAGGGCGCATGAGTGCAGTCAACTGGGGGACCTTGCGGAGGTCATGCTTTGAGAGGTAGTGCTTGCCGGTCTGGCGGGAGAGCTCGACAGCACGCTGGCGAAGCAGGTAGGGGGCGTACGTCTCAGGGCAGACGAAGAGTGAGATGATGAGGATGACACCAGTGAAGATAGCCATCATACCCTCAACCCAGCGCCAGCCAGAGGCATGACCGAGGAAGCCACCGGCAATAGGGCCAATAACGGGGCCAAGGAAGGGAGCTGACGCGAACAGAGCAGAAGCCATGCCGCGCTCGGACGCAGAGAACATGTCGGCAATGACGCCACCAGCGTTCGTCAGGGGTGACGAGCCGAAAGCACCTCCGAAGAATCGCAGGATGATCAACGTCTGGATGTTTTGAGAGCCAGCAGCGCCGGCATTGAAAGCCGTAAGAGCAAAGAAGGTGACGATGAAGAGGCGCTGGCGACCAAAGATCTCCGACATGGGAGCCCACAGGAGGGGACCGATGGCGAAGCCAAGGACGAAGAGAGAGACACCAAGGATGGCGACAATCTGGGACACGCCAAAGTCCTCGATGACGGCGCGGACACCGCCCGAGTATGCTGAACTGGCGAAAGCAACGGCCAATGTCGCAACGGCGTTGACTACAGTGATGGACCACTTCTTGGTCTGGCTGAAGGTCATGGGGTTGCGAACATCTTCGGGGAGGAAGTCAACGAGATAGGGAGACTCGGCAGTGCCCTCGCCGGGGTACGTGTGGTTGAGGACTTCGGGGGTCACGCCGGCCTGGTCGTACAGGAGCTTGAAGTGACCCTCCTTGGTCCTCGTAGGCTGGGCCTCGATATCGAGGTCAGGGTGTGTCGCTGTGACAGACGATGCTGATGAGTTTGGTGTCGTCGCCATGGTGTGATGTAATGTGGCGAGCATGCGCCTCGGGACGATTGGTTGTGTTGTCTGTATAGGTCAGGCGAGGGACAACAGCAGATCGGGGACCTGATCTGATCTAATCTGATTCGGAAGACTCGTGGCGTTGATTGATGATGGAATGGAGATCTAGAATTCGAGACAATGGCCTATGGACCTGGGAACCGCAGATCTATATAACGCAGCTCAGTGGATGCAGATTTCTAATACGGACTCGTGCTCGTCCCCGTTCGATTCCATCTCCCATCACCAACCCAACGAACGGGGGGCCTGTCCCACTCGGCCGAGCCGTGAACAGGGTAATAAGAGGGGCCTTTGTCGGGGCGTTACGCTTGTTATGTCCGCGACCCGCCTCGCAGCACGCCATTTCGTTGGCTGAGACGGGCAAAACCCATCGGAGGGTCGGCGGCGGGTTTCTAGCCGACTGCTTGGTCGGCACCTCGGCAGGGCTGATGGGGAACGTCGAAGAAGCTAGAGCCCTTGCAGAATGGTATAGGCACTATGACTCGCTGGGCTGTCCGGCGTGTTTTGGCCAGCGAGGTGTGATGTGATCTGCGAAAGCTTGGGAATACGTTATTCTCGGTAAGGCCTGGGACGGCCCAGGGTCTGGGACCGGATTTGGCGCCAGATCCCGGCCGAGGCAACGTGCTTATGGGGCCCCTAGTGCTGAGAAAAGCGCTCCCTGTCGCCCAAATGCTGTGAGGGCTGCGGAGTCGGATTGTCGGCGAGTTTTCGTAGCAGCAATTCCGTCCCGGCATTGGGCTTGCAAACTCCGGCCCATATCGACCCTGAGTTGTCTGTGAGTGTTCGCCGGGGGAGAAAACAGCCGAATGGTGAACACAAGGTAATGCAAGACATGACGCGTTCATGAGTGATGTCGCCAGTCAAGGCCTCCAGTTGTTCCGCTTCGTATTGGAGCATCTTCGAGCGATCGTCGGCCGCGCGAGCTCATCAGTTTCGGTGGACAGCGGTGCCACATGGACAAACCCGTGCCGAAGCAGTTGAGACGATCATATCAACGTGCCGACCACGAGCAGGTCGAGATCAGACAGCCAGGCATCTTGAGCAATGGTCTCGAAGCTGCCAAGCCGGCCCCTAATCGTTGCCCAGCAGTACAGAATCAAACAATAACCATACCTCGGTCCAGTGGGAGTGGATCCCATCGGACCCTGGCAAAGAAAACAAGTATGTACACCTTCGGCTGGGTAAAAGGTGGGGGCTTGCTGACGGTGACCCTTTGCCAGCACAGCAATGGCACGCAAATTGATAAGAAGCTGAGGTGTCGCCCCTCTGATGAAGAAGAAATTTTGTGCGAGCCTCGCGCCAGAAGCCTGACAACAGGGCGGATAATTGGGGCCGGAGAAGCTCGTGCCCCGACTTGTGGATCCTCCCTGTCCTACCTTCCCAGGACGAGGTCGCCCCTTCTTCGCCAAGCCGGCATTTCCCTGTGCCTCGGTATGACGTCGTCGAATTTTTGTTTCTGATTCGGGATAACATATTGCCTTCACCATGTCCAATTGTAGCACTAGACTTTTCAAGCGGTCTTGATAATCGTTCGGGACATTCTAGAACGTCGTTATGTTCCACAAAATTAGATCACCACATGCTACATTATTCCATGACGTATCGCACACTAATCAAAAGACAACAACGAATCTCCGAAGACAGTGGAGCTTCTGCTGTGAAGCCTCACGGCAATCAAAGCACGACAGGGTTTATCTAGGCCAATCTTTGACCCACGCCACTCCCTGTGCTCAGCGCTATCAATTCTGGCCGTACTCGGGATAAGGGATGCCGCCGATGACTGATGAGTGCACCAATTGCCGGCACGCCCCGTTGCCTGGACGCTGGTCGAGCCATGAACGACTCCCTAGGGCTGAATGTTGTTGATGGTGCGTGTTGATCTGTCTTCTGACGTGTAAAGCGGGTGAGCGGGATAATTGGTGATTGAGGACGGATGGTGGTGCAGATGGTCTACTATCTATCCCCGAGCTTTCGCTGCCTTGCATCACGCTGTCCGAGGCGAGTCGACCGATCAAGACGGCGATGCACTTGCTGTAGGAGGCTTGTTACAGAAAGAAGAATCACAAAATCCGCCGATTGGATGATTGCTGATCACACTAGCTTTATAGCCCTCGAAAAAGAAAAAAGATTCGCGTGTGTCTAAGCAACATTGCCTCTGCCAAAGCATTATTTGCGAACAGAGAACTACAGCAACCAAAAAACAAAGACTTTGCACCGATTGGAAGCCGATGCAGTGTTATCGTGATGATGCCTCGTACTGGAATCGAACCAGTGATCTCATCATTACTAGTGATGCGCTTTACCACTAAGCCAACGAGGCATTTTACATGACGATCATGTTACAGGGCAGGGATGATGACCCCGACAGAACTCTCATATTCTAACACGAAAGTGTTACGTTACTCGGAGCAAGAGGAACATGTTTTTGTCAAGTATTATTACTGGTTCTTTGAGACTTTTCACGGATGACTCTTTCTTGGCTTGGCTACTACTAAGACGTCGCAAATGGGCCTGCATAGCTCAATTGCGGCCCCGGGAAAAGCTAGCAGGTGCCATGTGATTGACTTCAAGACAGTCGCAGGCACGATCTTTGATCTGCGCCTTATCAAATACGTATGTGAATTACGACTCGACCAAGAAAACGGAAGTACCAAGCATCGTGGGTTGGATGCCCTCCGACCACGAAAGACCCACATATGTTGATGAAAGACATGTTCAAGCTAGGTTGCGTTACCTTCAACATGAACATGTGACTGTCACACGCATCCACTGAATAGTCCAACGATGTACGCGATGTATTGTCAGAAACTTGGAGCATCAAGTGAAAGCTAGACTTCACCACCCTTAACTATACCACTGGCGAGGACCTCGAAAATGTGTAGCAAACCATACCCAGGTTTCGAGACTTGCTCAAACTCTCAGCCGAGAAGTCTCTCAACCAATGCGCGACCTCCAAAGTCAAACTCTTGTGGAAGCGCCCAGAGTATGGGCCACCGTTGCGATGTCCGGCTTCATAAGACTCTTTTTAACTGGGTTAGGCGCGTCGAATACCTCATCAAGCTCTTCCAGTGTGCGTCGTTTGGTTTCAGGAAAGAAAAAGTAGATGACAACACCTTCAAAGATATCCCAGAAAACGAAAAAGATATAGAAATAGTAGCCAATATTCTCAAATGCTGGAGCCGATGCATACTGAATAATGACACTGGCTGCAGCAGATGTGACATTGCTTACTGCGGTGCCCTTGGCCCGAGTTGTAGTTGTCAGGGTTTCGACAATGTACATTGTCTGGAGCGGGGTCCATCCGAATGAGAAAACGACTCCGAACAGAAAGACGAAGACAATAGTCGCATTGGCTGCTGACGGGTCGCCGTTCTCGCCGGTGGCTACCTTTGAAGTGCCTGTCATGACAGCAAAGCATACCGAACAGAAGAAGATGGAGACGAGAAGCAATGGGCGTCGACCAATCTTGTCGCTGTAACGAGCGCCCAGCAGAGATGCAATGAAGCATAGTACCGGATTGATGCCGTTGAGCATCAGTTGCGTGCTCTCTGAGGTGATTCCGGCATTCTCGACCATCACAGGAAGGTAGTAACCAGTGATGGAGTTTCCGCTGAGCTGCCCAAACGCTGCCATACCAAGAACACAGATGAGTCTCCGCCGTGCTGAGCGCGTATTGCCGAGCTCCCGGTAATCCCACCATCTTTTGTCGGAAGCATCTTGCTTAATACTGTGCTTCATTTCCTCCATCTGTAGCTGGACCATGGGGTGATCTTGCTGCCCTTCTCCGTGGTACCTGGCGAGCACAGCCCTGGCTTGTTCGGTTTTGCCGTTGGCAATGAGCCATCTTGGAGACTCTGGTATAAAGAAAACGCCAACGCCGACGATGATCGATGAGAAGAGCTGACCCCAGATGGGGATTCGAAACGCATACGGATTATTCCACTTCGAGCAGCCAAAGATCGTCCAGCTAGCCACTATGGCGCCGAGCCACCTTGATATTGTCAGCTTGATTAATAGTGTTCAAGTCGGGGTCTTACTCACCACATGCAGTTGTATAGTCCCGTGTGAATGCCGCGCCATTTGGGGTGCGACATCTCGCTGACATAACATGGCGCACTGACTGAACAGAAGCTGACCCCAAAGCCCAGCATGAATCGACCGCCTATAAACATTTTCAGATTATGGGAAGGGGCTTGAATGCATGTACCCGTGATGATAAGCAAAGCTCCGACGAACATTCCCCATCGTCGTCCAAAGAAGTCATTCGTTGGGCCGGTAAACGGAATGGCACAGATTGAACCAATACTGTAAACAGCAAAGATGAACCCCGTTTGCGATCCTACAGACGAACTGAGGGGAAGCCTATTAGGAGTGGACATGAATATAGCGCTGGGTGTGTGCTGGCTTACGTATCGAAATAGTTTTGGTAACTTTTCATAGCATTGAGACCCCCCATCAAGGACCCATCGTAACCGTTGAGACACCCACAGAAGTAAGTAATGAGAAGACAGCCGTAGAGCCTGAACATAGACTTCGTCCATGGGTTGCAGACAACCTCAGCGGCACGCTCAGCAATGTTGTGGATAGCTTCGTCATCGACAAATTCGACGCGAGCCACATCCTCCAACGACTTAGTTCTGTCTGCCTTGAGGTCATCAGACCTGAAGTCGCCCTGGGAAGGGGTTCTCATTGTGTAATAACGAAAGGATGGCCACACAAGAAGAATATCGTTCCGGATACGAGAAAAGTGCTGCTGGCGTCATTGAACATGCAGTGAAAGCTAGGACCCGGCCTCTTATAACTTGACGACCTGTATAGCAATCGCGTTGCACATGTGGCCGGCTCATCGCGGTCCGGAACCGTTGCCATGACTCGGCCCTACGGTGTCCAAACCATCTCTTCAGTTGGCAACAGGATTTGCGGGGGAGCCTGGGTCGTGCGGGGAATGGCATCGT